CAGATTTATTAAATTTAGCAAATGCCCAATGATCCTATACTTTATTTCAAATTTTGCGTATACATTTTCTTGGCCATGGCAACAATATATACAGAAAAAACCATGAAATTAGAAAAGAGAGAAAAAAATCGTATTCATAAGCAAAGACAATCGTCGGTCGTTCTTTGGTTAAAGGTAATTATAACAAGCAATCTGCAATGTTGGAATCGGAGCTGTTTTTCCAGCCCTGGTGCCAATAGGCACCATTTGACATTCCATGTACTGAAGAACAGAAAAAAATATGGACGGCGCTGATGAGATAACTATTCGGGCTCTGGTGTTGATCAAATTGCTGTCCGCCGCAATTGAAGGGGAAAAAGTAAGTAGGAGATCCGGTTCAACTTCCTTGATAAAAAATATGCGAAGATGTTCCTGAGATAATCATTCAGCAAAAAAAGCTGGTGAAATAGCCCACCTTAAAAATCAGAGGCGCATTTTTCGTGAACGATAACACTTGATTGTACGAGATAGACCTCCACGTCATATCAGGCCAGTGCAACAAAAAGACGATATACTTTCCCATTTTACATCCCCCCATTTTTTTTCAAGATAAATACACTGAAAAATGGTACACTGTTTTAGCATCTAGAATGTCAAAAAAGTGTCTAATGGTCCTATAGGACGCTACCCTGATTGCCCACGCAGTTGAATTTGCATTCATAGAATGTAAAGTAAACTGCGAGGGCAGTAAAAGCAGCATCTTGGGATCACCAGACACATTTTTGGCATCCTATGTGCTAAAACAGCATATTATTTTTTTCATGGTATATATGTAATGTGCGTGAATCTAAAATGTACGTGACATTTCTCTCGGCCCTGAATAAAAGTAGACATTGGACGCACAGATATGCAGGTTGATTCATCTTGAACCAATTTTGGAGCGCGTAAATCGTGTTCTTGTTGTCGCTGATATAACATGAAGTAAAGGTCGGACTTGCGAAATCTAGTTACCGTTTGTGTGAATTGCTCTTCCAAATGTTGCATGGATAATTTGGCCAGTATTATCGCTTGAATAATTACTTCACAACATCTATGTATAAATGTATACATTCTATCAAAAAGGTAGGAACTGCCAAACCAGATCTCTCACGTATCTGTTTCGCCTTCAATTTCGGCGGACAGCAATATGATCAACACCAGAGCTCGAATGGTTATCTCATGAGCGCCGTACATATTTGTTGAAGTTTTAGAAGAAGACATGTCCCATGGTGTATATTGGTAGCAGGGCTGGGGGAAAAACATTTTTTCAGTTTCCAGCGTTGTAGATATCCGTTATAATTTGATTTTTCACGTAAAAAAGGAAGAAAATGAAGATGGCGTGGAAGAAAAAGAAGAACATGAAAAAAATGAATAGAAATGAAAAGGTTAATAACTTCTTAGTGTTTTCTAATCCTATTTTTTCTCTACTTCCTCTCATTTTTCTTCCTCCACTTATTCTTACCCTGGTAAAAATTGGCAGTAGAATCTGTGTTCCAAAATACCATAGGTCTACAGCCGGCTGTAAGATTTCCAATAGCTTCTATAGCCGGCAACACAATTTCTCATAGCTTTTCATAGCCGATGGCGACTAAGCAACAGCCTGGCGATAAAGTGTATGCTAAACGTTACTAATTACGGATGCTAGGACTTAGTGAGTTACGACTACCACTCTCTTTTTGGGCCGTAGTATCTTGATTTATTTTGAGAGGAAAGCTTCGTACTTTTGAAGGATGCCGATGCCTGCCATTCCAAATATGTTGGAGCGCCTATGCAATAAGAACTCCTATGGCATTTTTAAACGCAGCTCCTATCGCCAATTTTTACCAGGGCACCCTATTTTCTCTCTACTTCCTCTTATTTTTCTTCTTCCACTTATTCCTATTCTATTTTCTCTCTACTTCCTCCTATTTTTCCTTCCTCCACTTATTCTTCCTCTATTTTCCCTCTATTTCCTCTTATTTTCCTTCCTCCACTTATTCTTATCATATTTTCTCTCCACTTCCTCTTATTTTGCATCCTCCACTTATTCTAATCCTATTTTCTCTCTACTTCCTCTTATTTTTCTTCCCTCACTTATTCTTATCCTATTTTCTCTCCACTTCTTCTTATTTTTCTTCCTCCACTTATTCTTATCCTATTTTCTCTTTTCTTCCTCTCATTTTTCCTCCTCTACTTAATCTTATCCTATTTCCTCTCCACTTCCTCTTATATTGCATCCTCCACTTATTTTAATCCTATTTTCTCTCTACTTCCTCATATTTTTCTTCCTCCACATATTCTTCTTCAACTTCCTTGTCGTCTTCCTCATTCCCGTCTCCGTCATTCCCGTCTTCGTCATTCCCGTCTTCGTCATTCCCGTCTCGTTCATCCCCTTCTTCTGATTCGAAAGCCGAAGACTCCGAATTAAATGCCCCGAGTCTATCAGACATGGAATAACCACAGAAGCCATTGTGGGTAAGAGTGGCATCCCCGCTCGGCTAATAACCCGGCGGCGTCCCGAGGGCTCGAGAGTGGGCAACCCGCTGCGGCTGTCACCTGCCTGCTAGAGGGCGCCACCCGCTCGCCTTCCTCCTCGCCGCGGAGTGCGGCTGACGCTATAATAGCCCAAGATGAAAAGGCGTCCTAGGTGGAGTGAACTCATCTGAATGACATGTTTAATTTCGTCACCGGTCCATCGATGCTAATGACGGATATAAGTTCTTTGTAGCGTCGCGGGTCGCGGGTCTCGGAATTAATGAGAGCCGTGATGAATGACACGATAGTTAGTCGCCAGCTCAGAACAGGTTCTAAGCTGTCAGCACGCCATCGCCCCTCCAGCGACAATAACAACCCCACTTCAAGTTCGAGTCGTACGCTCCGTATGACTCTATACTCCCCAGGGCTCACGTGAGAATAGGGTTACGTCTTTCGGGTCGGCGGAGCATCCCTCACAAACGGAAATATAGGATAATACAACAATTTTTTCCCCTTAGCCTCCTCCTCGTCTTGCGGCCCGCACCCCCCTCCCCGTTTTTTCGATGTGTATGTGTGCGTGTGTTTTTAACTGTCACTGCCTCGAACAAAACACACGAGAGAGCGAGCGATATTTTGACAGGTGATTTATCATAACTTTTAGAAGTCATCGCCGTAAGATGGCAGGGCTGTCGGGTCCTCGTCATTTGTCATCCCGACGACGCGCGCGCCACGCCAGCCCCCCCCTCCCCCTCCACCCCCGCGGCCCCGGCGGCGCAGTCGAGGCGGGAGCGCGAACTTAGCGCCAACGCAAAGCTCGTCGCGCGTTGCCACTTCGATGCGCGAGAAAAAATGATGCTTGATTTTCTCGGGTTGTCGCTTTCGGACGAGGGCAGTTGGTCATGGTTTGATTGGTTTGGGGTTTTCGGACGTGTGGGATAGCTGAGGACCCCTATCGTTGATGTCAGTCGGAAACGCGTCAGGAATCGGAGAACGAAGCAGCAAAAAAGGAGAAGAGGAGGAGGAAGAAAATGAAGGAGGGGGAGAAGAGTCGAAGAACGATGAGGATGGACAAGGAGCAGAAGTAGTTAAAGGGGAAAAGGATGGAAGAAAAGGACAGGAAGTTAGAGAAAAAGAAGGGAAATATGGATGAAGATAAATTTTTTTGTTCCTCTTCTTCTTCCTCTCCCTCTGCTCGTTGTTTCCGTATTATTTTCCCTCCTGACCCTCCTCATCTTCTTCATCTCCATTTTTTTCTTCCTGTTTTTCTCTCTTTTTCCTCTTTTTCCTTTTTTCCCTCTTTTCCCTATTTTCCCTATTTTCCCTCTTTTTCCGCTTCTTCTCTTCCACCTATACGCCTTCTATCTCTTCTTTTCCTCCTTTTTCTTCTTATTTTGCTCCTTCCTCCAATTATTGATGCTTTCTCAATCATCTTGCGATAGAAGGCCTGCGATCTGAGTCTGTCATCAAACTAGGGTTAGGAGCCAATTCATGAAGGAGGGCACACCTGGAGGTACTTGGCACCTAGCATATATAGGACAAAAATTACTTAGAGGAGGTTGATATGGGTGAGCAGAAGAGGGAAAAAAGCAAAAATCAGAAAAATCATGGTCATCAATACGGACGATCCTGTAGTCATCGTGCTTTCAACTCGGTATTAAACTGAGTATTTTCCGAGGATCGAGAATCACTCATTCGTGAACAATTTTCTTTCCAAGAGATATACAAATACATACTCTACTTAAAGCAAAACTATTGGAATTGAAATAAAAGAGCAGGCATTATTTTACGGATACGCTGTTGCAAACATATTTAGACTGGACTATGAAAGGAGGCGTCATGCTACACTTTTTTCCGAAGAGGGTTTTATCCATAAAAACACACGTCTATACTGACGCACACATCATAATGATGTATGGAAAATGTAAGTCACCAGGAGCTTAAGAAAGAATGCTCAATATCTTCAACTTCCTGAAGAAATCTTTGTGACGGCACATTCTAGCAATGTACTTCATTTCCCAATGATGAACCGCTATTTCCGGCTCACCCATAAAATGTCCTATCTTCATAAGAACAATTTTGATACATCTTTGTATGTTGTCTCTAAAATGAACCGGAAAAAGTGTTTTCTTAGATCAAAGTGGTGTAGTTGAATTGTCAAACAGGAGATAGCAGACAGGCCAGGGCGTCGTTCTGTCACTTGAAATGCGCATTGGCGCCTACAAACCTAAGTGGATACTTCAAGCATTGTGCAATGCGTGAAGTATCCACTTAGGTTTGTAGGCGCCGGTGAGCCTCTCACGCCGGAAGCACGCCGCTCCAACTTTTCAGCAGTAATTCTTGCAAGTTGGCGATGCCGTTTTTCTATCATTCAAACATATGTAATAAAATCTATTCTAGATTCGGCTTTAGATTAGATTCTAGATTATCTTCATCTAGAATGATCTGGATATTTACTATCTTTCCTGTTTTTCCAACCTCCTTGCTTTATAATTTTTATTTAAGTTTAAAGAAAAAAAGAAGCTGAAGAATTTGAAAACAATAACTAACTTTACTGGCGATAAACATTTTCAGATATGGTTAAAATTTAAGTATAAAAATATAAGTAATGAAATACAAACTCAGTATAAGAAGATTTAAAACTTTAAGGATAATAGACATCCATTTAATTTCGTCCGGTTGAAGATGGATAGCATGCAGGTTCGGGGACAGCTCCCATTGGCGGATCCAGCAAATTGGCAACACTGTTCTTCTCCATTTAAACCTATGTTAAATAATCGATTCTTGGAGGGGCCAGGTGCCCCTCCAAGAATCGATTATTTAACATAGGTTTAAATGGAGGGAATCCATTGTTGCCAAATTGCTGGATCCGCCCCTGACAGCTCCTAATCTTGTAAATTGAAATCTATGGTTTTAATATCACTAAGACGGATCACCACCTGGTATTATGAATACAGTAAGTCATAATTCTCCTGGACGTGGTAGGAGAGACTACCCTAACAAAACATTTTTACATTCTAAAATGAAAATGGGAAAATACAATCGAATCGATAAGAGTCTGTTTATAAACGGGAAATCTGATTATCATTTCAGAATTACTTTACTGGCAAGAGAATATATAATTGTGGACGATTAAATTCTTACATAGTAAAATAAGTAAGATTAAGCATGTCCACCCCCCAAAAAACTCGAATCTATACGTGCTGCACTTTCTTTTTTGCCTTTCTTCATCCATGTTCTCCTGTGCTTAAAATTGTATTAAGGTCTGCGTCATAAAGCAATATCTGCCTCTATCTCTCAGTTAACAATGACAACTCATGATATCAATAAGAAACGCCAATATAAGCATGCACTTTCAAAGTTAGTTTACGAGGTCAATATTACCCTAGGACATAAAGGTATATGATAATAACTGTATGAGCGAAGCATATCTGAAGCGCTTTTTTCTTAAATATTTAGTAGTGAATTGTTGATGTGTTCACAATACACATTTGAGATAATGACAGTTCTCACCTCTTACACTAATTTTTACTATAATGCACGAATCGGAGAGACTAGGAATTATATTCTGTTTTTTTAGGAATTATAAAAATATAAAATTCGTAGGATTTACTTTTGGGGAAAAAACCCACACTTCATACTTTTCAACAGCCATAGCAATTGACTACTTATGCGAAAACACTTAAACATATTTATAAATGTGACTTTCAAAGTAGGAAATAACTAAATTTAATATACTAATCGTTCAGAGCATTCACTTGTTAATGCCCTCTTACAAACAAGATACGTAATGACTAGAATCTTCCGTGATTTGCAGAAAAATATGCAGGGATTTTTGGTGATACTTCCTGTGATTCGTCTGACGGATTAAGAAAATCCTTTTGAAAATTCTAGGAGCTTTGGACTGTGAGGAACTGATTATTATTTCAATCTATAAGAATTTACAAATACATGCTTTCACTGACTTAAACATTTAGGCTCTTTTTGTTTAGCAAACTTAAATTATCTTTGAATATGGATGAAAAGGAAAAACAAAAGCGCCTTGCGGACGACTCGGGAATGTATTATTTTCAATATTTTACAAATTATATATTTAGTGTTATGGAAGTTTTGTGCGTTCATAGATTTATTTGATTTCAACCAGCCATCAATATTTAAACTTGAGTGGGAGCTTTTATAAAGTGCAAAAATTAGGATAGTAAGTCTCAAAACTCAGTGAATATGTAAAGTGCAAGATATACGTGTATAGTTTGAATAACGAACGGTGCATTCTCAGATAATGATTCTTAGGAAGAGAACAGAAAAACCGAGTGAAAAAGAAACAAAACAGATGGCTAGATACATAAACTTTGATACAATTCGACTTATTAGCAATGCCACGATGAAAAGGGACAGGGGCGTGCTCAATTTAAAAGGTGTTTTTTTATTTAAAACATTCAGACATTATTTGACTGGGTTTTCACACTGCCTAAAAACCCACAGCGTGGCAATCGAATAATGTTTGAAGTTATTACAAGTGTAGAGGTTCTATTGATTTCATTAGATTAAATTTCATCTTGAAAATGTTTCTATGATCTGTGCATCAAATATTTCTCAGAACTTCGAAAAATCAGCTGAAGGATTTTCCTTGTTTTTCTTTTCAAAATATTTTACGCCAAGAAACATTCAGATGTAAACAACATAAATACAATCTCTTTCAATTGTTTTCACAGTTTTGAGCTATGTTTTAATCCATGTAAACAACTGTAGTTTGAATATGTCTAAAATACCACTTTTTATTTGATTTTTAAGTTTAGCGTTATAAATGAATAGCTAAGTTGTATTACCATGTCCCTAAAGGACTTCAGACTCATCAATCGGATTTATCCGGTGATATTTTTGAAAATTTCGAATTTTGATACTTCGAATGAGGGTTGTTTCAGAATATATCATTGGTGAGAGACTTAATGTCAAAACTCAAAATTTAGTCCTAAAATACTTTCTTTTTGAATGCGCGAGATCCCATGAGATCCAATTGCTAAACTTACATTCCTCGAAATCCAGAAAATGTCACGGGCATGTTCATTCTTTGGACCTAACATTCATCTTCGTATGACATCTTTATAAATATAATGTTATGATTTATGTGAACCGTCAAACTTTTCAGTCTTAATCAACAACCAAGTAGTGTAAGTATACAAAAAATTAACCAATTGACTTAGATTACTCTCGTTACTATCATTACTCTCAATGAAATGCTATTTTGCGAATTACAATCGGAGGGTTAGAACCCTTATAAAACTTTTTAGGCTTACAATAACGATAAATATAAATTAAACTTAGCAACATTAATAATAGTAGATCATGAAATTGAGTGGTTCTTTTAACAAATCTGAATCATAACAAAAACAATAAGCCATTAATTGACAAGTACAAATAATTGCAAATTTGGAAAAACTTAACAAAATTACATAGTCCAGTAACAGTTTTAGGAACTTCAACAACTAGGAAGTCCTCTTGGCACGAAGTGACTAAATTTTTAATTTAAGGAGATCTTGAGCTAAGGAATGCGGGGTCTACGGAGGCCACTTTTGCTGTCAAAAAAGCATGCATGCAGAACAGTAGCGCTTGGAGAGCAGAGCACTCGAATTCCTGCAAAAAATGAAAAAAAAAATTAAATAAATAAAATAAAAGCGTTTGCCCGTATTCATGTAAATGAGAAAATTCCTTCCCATGAAGGTACGCAATGTCAAACATTGCCAAATAAGAGTTTGTATGATTCATAACGCTTTAAGCATGCAGGCAAATGAAATGCTTTGATGATAAGAGCTTTTAAAACACTCTGATTTGACATTACGACAGGTGTATGTCAACCTGGACACCATTTAAGTAAAAGAACCTACATTTTTGGCTCATTTTAGACGTACTTACAACTGGTATTCCTGCATTGGTGGGTGTTTTTATGTGTGCGCAAATATATTTGGCTCCTGTTTGACACTCGCTGTTCAACTACCCCAGCAGATCATAAAAAGTCAACATGAGGGGCCTAATTCCCATTGGCAAAAATTACTGCAAATTGAGAAGCATTATCGACATAAGACGATCAAAAGTGTCATTTTATGCAAACAAAGAAACTGAAAATCTAAAAAACTAGGGGAGGACGAGAGCGTGGTGAAAGAAAGGAATAAATCAATATCAACTCACTGGTGCGATTTATTACGTATCACGTTGTCACTCACAAAGATACATTTCTGTAGAGCCGAGGGGTTGTAATAGAGCCATGACTAGTACCGTAGATTGTGACTAAAAGTAGCTTGTTATGGCCACAATACACGATTTAAGAATAATAACGCTATGTGAAATTTTCTAAGCTACAGTTAGACAGCAATCACAAGGGGTTACTACTAGTGCCACCTATGATACCAGCTCTTGAAACTTTTCTGTACCTTGCACCTTACGTTTCCATCTGTTCTCTGTGATCCTTCCGGAATATATTTTTCTGCGTGATTTTATCGTTTTATTTGAGCCTTAAAACTAAACCTATTTAATCGAACTTGCAAGTATCAGTTCTGAATTCTTTATATCCATTATTCCTACAATTTTACCGTTATTTTACAGATTAATGCCGAAAAGCAGACGAGAAGTACAGTTGTATGACGTTCCAATAAGAATACTAACGTTATCCCAGAAGGATCCAAATCGAAGTAAAGGAGCTCATTCATGAATTATTTTAACATCGATACTTCCTCGTTCCCATTCATATCAATTCGTCGCTTGGCTGACATAAGGGCGTGACTACACATTGAGATGAGCTCGGAAAAGAATTGAGTTGTTTGTAAGACAAGGATCATAGCAGAGTGTAGTTACCGCCTGATGTCAGGAGAACGACGAATTCACCCATGAGCATCAGTTCTTTCCTTGCCGAGAGATCTATGGATTTTATATTTAATGCTTAATATTATTCTGTGCATTGACGGATGTTTAAATATTAACGGAGAAAAAGTGGAAGAAATCAAAGGGCGCTTCTTTTGATTTAGGTGCTGGGATTTTCCTTTTTCAAAGCATGACAAAGATAACTTCTCGCCAAGATTGGGTTGTGTCCCTATAGATAGCACTTCTAATATTTTACCTATCTGCTCTATAAAAAAAAATGTTCTCTTTCCTGTCTCTTGTCACCATCGATCCATGTTATCATTTTACTGATTGCTCAATTTCAATCGGTATTAGAAGGTGTAGCTTAGGGAAAATATTTTCTTGGTTAGCAAAATACAAAAAATTAAAGCAAATTAAAAAGACTAGAAAGGTTTGGTTCTGTGGTCACTGAACTGATTCACACTGAAAAAAAATGTGCTTGATGTAAAAATTGTGCTGATTCTTGAATTTGCCGCCAAGAATTGTTTTATCTTAATTTTTTCTTGATACAAGAATGCTGAAATGCTTGCTGAATTTTTCTTGATACAAGAAAAATGATGCTTGGGTTAAGAAAAAAAGTATTTTATATCAAGCAGCATAAAATACTTCTTGGCGGCAAATTTAAGGTTCTTCCTTTTTTCAGTGTATTTTTTAGAGAAGGGGAAGGTCAGTTATCTTGTACGTGTAAAATATATTTAATTGAGCTTTCTTTATTGGTTATTTAGCAACTGTAAAAATACGTATAAAAGGAATAAAAACGTAAAAATTTTAACCTGGAGTGGTTAAACAGCCACATTTATTATTCCTCTTTTAAGTCTATCCTAATATTATCATCAACTTTTCTAACAGAATTCAGTGTGATTATAAACAAGCGCTAAATCCAATAGCTAAAGTTTTGCGGTGGACAATCTTCGTTGCTGAAACGGACCAACCCGTTAAATCAAAACGCTTACCTTTGTTTCGATAGCCCTGGTATCGTTGTCTTGAAAATGAAGCTTGAGTCGACTTTTGCCATCGTCGGAGGAGCCCCTCAGTTGAGAGAACTTATACTGCCAGGCGTATGCTCGGGCTTGGGTGTCGTACAACGCGAATCCCATGTTCCAGTCTAGGGTTAGCCCCGCTGGCTTGATCCCCGAATTACTGTTCAATGTAACGTTGAATGTTTTACTCTGAAACACCAAAATTGACTCATTAAGGTTTCGCTTTTTGCGTGTTAATTGAATGAATTAAATTGAAAAAGGAAGTCGTGCCTTTACACGCTATGTAGTTTAGTGCAAGTTGTTGTAGTGGATGTACATTTCGAACATCAAGTCCATCCTCAGCACTTAATCATAAAATTACACAGTAAAACACCGGTGATGGATGAATTATCAACATACATTACATTTAAAACAGGGACAATTGAACGAGTGAGAAGGTAAAAGGCTAAAAAGTGGGTAATTTTGTGATTAAATGCTAAGGATGGACTTGATGTCCGAAATGTACTATTGTACATCCTCTACAACAACTTGTAATAAACAACAGGGCCGGATTAAGGGAGTGGCCACATGGGCCGCGGCCCATGGCGGCAAATCTAGGGAGCGGCAAATTTTGCAATGTTTTCAAATGTAGGTATAAAAAAAATCGGATTTAGAAAAAAAAATTACAAACGAGAAAAGGCTACAAAATCTCTCATTTCCTGAGACTATAGTAATTTCTAATTTTGTCGTCTTTAAGTGATACAAGAGAAAGCACCTTTAATTAGTCGAGTTGAGAGAGAAACCAAACACACAATTTGGCCTGGAACGGCACGACTTAGGGAGAAATGATGACGAGGACTTGAGATGAAAAGGAGAAGCCCTCGGCGCGGCAATCGGCATGTAACACATATTAGCGCCTACAAGACTGCACGAATACTTCACGCATTACGTCAAACAAAGTGCGGTTATTGTGGTCAGCGTGAAACGGATAGCGCCTACAAGAATGCATGAATACTTCTCGCTTTGCGCCAAACACAGTGCGATCACCGTGAAACGCATAGCGCCTACAAGACTGCGTAAATACTTCACGCATTGCGCCAAACACAGTGCGGTAGGCGCGGTGCGATAGGCGCGGCGCGGCGGCGGAAGTTAAAATCATTAAACCAAATTTTGTGTTTGTTTTTTCATAATTTTTTCGTTCATCTCTCATGAATGGAAGGCCTTGTCCATTAGAGATAAGTTTATGAAACTTGACTTTCGCGCAAAGTTCCGTGATCTTTTGCTAGTAGTGTTGACAGGGCTTTCCCAAAAAATGTGTTCAACACGAGTAAGCGTGCCTTATGCACCCCTCCCCCGCTGGCACGTTCACTTGATGGTTTTTATTGATGTTTCAAAACGAATGAGAAGGGGACGGCAAAATACAGGCGGCCCATGGGCGGCAATAAGGAAAATCCGGCCCTGATAAACAACATAGCGTGTAAATGAAAGACTTTCTTATTGAATTTAATTTAAAATTGATTGCTGTGAGAAGAAACTGAACAAAAACAGGCTGAAAAGGGACGTTTCTAGCCATCAAATCAATCCATTCTTATCAATAAGCATATCAATGGCCAAAGTGCGAAACTACAGTTTTTCAAAATGTCCGCTCTTATTTTATTTTCTCGAAGAAAAATAAGTCGACTTTAGAAATTGAAATTTTTACAGAGTAGTCTGCTGATATAGAGGAAAAATCAAGCAAGTTTTTTAGAAATTATGTTGACTAATTTTCCAAAGGAAAAATAAAATATGACATGAAGTCTGCAACGTTGCAAACGGAGATACGAGGTTTCAAACTTTGGCCGTTACTATGAAAAACACTGACTAACAGAAGTTGGTGATAACCCACCCTCAAATTTTTCATCGTTTTTTTCCGAAAAAAATATTGTCAGATGCGCACATTGAAAAGCTAAATTAGGGTGGAATGGGACAGTTTGACCAAAGAAACGCGTCTTTAAAAAATATTTGTTTGAGCAAAACCCATTTGAGAAACTTCTTGGCATTTTAATTCTGCATAGTAACAGTGGATCAACGGAAAAACAGGACGGTGTGTGTTTCCAAAGATGCGTTGATGCTGTTTCATTGATCTTCAAAACGAATACCGATTTTCCAAATAAGTGAGCCGTTTCACCGGCAAACTCTTTAATTACACTGTGTACTTTTTAAATTTTGAACAATTGTCTGGAAGGATCCCTCCTGACCTCCCTCAACGCAACCGGGAAGGGTTACCTCTATAGCCAGAGACATGACACCCTCCACTACCTACTTGGCCACAGGTGGAAACTTTTACTTTCGGGAATTCAATACTTCTTAATGGACAATTGAATCAGTGAGACTGAAAATACCAACTCGAAAAAATTGAAATAACCAAGACACACAAAACCACACAGTAGGAGAAGAATTTAATCTAAGAAAAGGATTTTAGGTGCGTCGAAAGACAAGTACTTAGGGACACTTTAAAGGTCCTAATTGGAAAAGATGCGTTAACTTCAATGACCTTTAAGAAAATTGACTTTCATTAATGAAGATTGAACATTTCCGAGTTACCGAGTTGGTGTGTTTTCGTTCTCACTGATTCAATTATGAGGGAGCAACAGTCAGCATGCCTATTAGGTGGGTGATGAGCTTCGGGTGACGTACTGAGCGAAAAAAGTTTGCCAAGCTTCAGTATATTTGCCCAACACGTTGGTAAACATCCATACAGTAGACATACATCAGTAGACCATACATACAGTAGACCATACATCCATAAAGTAGGTCAACAGTTAAATCTTGAAGTCTTGAAAGTTAAAAGATTCCACCATTACCGCGATACCCGTGGAGGGTATGTTGTCTCTGTCCACTTGCCCTTTTCATTTTTCTATACTCTTTTTTATTCCACGCGCCACCCCTGCCGGTACAGTTCACATTGAGTAACGGGTGTCATCACTAAACTGGTTGAAAGTTCGCTTAGGATAAAATTCGACTAACCCCTAATTTCATGACGGCCGCACACACAGAACAATGCCAGGCACTTTCGATTCGGAGCAAGTCTTGGCGGGTCTCGACGGAGAAATACCTCGACTCTTGACCGCTCGTCTGGAGCAAGAAGCAGTGCTGTCTCTCGTCCACGTTTTCCGACTCCTTGATGATCCTCAACATGGACTGATACACCTTCAGCACCGTGTCACACGACAGCCAGTCTCCGATGTTCAACTATGGGAAGATTGATCATTCATTAGGTATCATGTGTCTTGGAGAGTTAGTTACGCTTACTCACGCGTGGCACGAAACTCTAGACTTACTATTGAAACTAATAGACAAGCGATGTATAAAGAAGAAGAAAAGAAAATGGAGCAATCCTATTGATTGAAACTGACGGTTCTTGTAGACTGAAGTAATAATGGTGGACTAACTAAAAGGTCCCTTGCAGGTCGCAGGTTAGTTTTCACCAAGAAGATCGCTCGGTTTTCCCAAGGTTTCCTTCGTTTATCACTTTGTCTATCGATTCCAATAATCAGCTCGCTGACGAAGTAAAATTTTTAGGATTCCTGTGCTATACAAATAATAATTTTGTGTTCTCGTATTGGCGATGAGATCGGGTCAACTTTGATTCTACTACCGAGTCAAATATTTTTCATCCATTTTGCCCTCAATGGCTGTAACTGTCTCTTAATGACTCCAATTGACTCTAAATTACTTTAACTACCTTGAGTTGGACTCATTACTGTACTTTTAGTTCCTCCGAATTGTTGGGTTGCTGTTTGCGTCTAAACAATTTTTCCACGTTAAATAGGTAATGAAATTTATGACTGAAAACTCGCAATGTCGCAAATGAGAATATGATGTTTAGTTTTATCATCATATAGGAACTTACAGGTGGAGTATCAAACAACAAGACATCAGTTCCTTTCAATGTAAGGAAGCGGGGTCGATAATTTTGCCAAGGCTGATTGTTGTTCAGAGTGCCCTCGTTGACCCAACCCATGTACTCGATTCTTTCCGAGGCGGGAAAATTTCGATTGTACAACTTCATCTACAAACAGAAAAATAATGGGTGTAATTAATGAACGGATAGAAAAAGGGAATATGCTTAACTTAAACTATCTTGGGTGGATGACAATAGATTTTCTGTTATTGGTTGTGCAAGCTTATTCAGGTGATCTAATAGTGCGAGAGGAAGCAAACATAAGAACATATTTTGCTAAAATACTGGTTTCAGTTTAATCTTTGAAAACGGACCCATCACGCAAGCATCACATTTCAGCTATTTGTTCCCGACGAAGCTCAATTATGAAACCTAAATCAAAACTGAGAGTACCCAAACGTGAAGATTATCCGTTCGACTTGTCTACGCGAATGCAATATTAAGCGTTCGCACACTAACAGCTTTGTCTAAAGAAATAAATTCTTAGGGTGGATTCAGGATTTGGCTGAGATAATCGTGCCTTTTGGCATGGTGAATACATTTATTTCTCAAAAGTTAAACGTGAAACCAGTATTCAGCAAAATTTGCACGATATATCTCGATGTTTGATTACACCTGCTATAAAATTACAATACTTAACAATATTCGGATGTGTTTTGCAACAAAGATTGTTCAAACATGTTTTTTTTTAAACATTTCAATATTACAGCGCCGACCGAATTACTTGTTTCACAAGCGGAATGAAGTATATCTAAGTCATTCACGCTGGCGTCCTACTTAATTCGTTACGCTCCTCGTAGCGCCTTCAAAATGATTCGATGCAACACATCATACTGAGCCGTTGCTTGTCATTTTTTTGAAGGCGCTTTAAATGTTCATTGAATTCGTCATCAGTACCAAGCCGGAGTTTACAAACTGCGTCCGAAAAGTGCTAACGTAGAAATACAACAAAACTAAAATCCAACACTAATTCAGCCACACGTTCTCTTGAACTGGAACTACAGACCCAGGGACACGTATCTCTACTTTATCAATTGATAGGTGCGGGAAGGTAAGTAACTATCGATGTTAGTGATCATTGATTTGTGTTTTGATTTTGTGTGGGCATTGAAGGTTTTTCTGGTTTATGTCGGCTCTTTTCCTGTACGAAGTCTTTTACCAAGCGTCACTTGATGGAGAAGCAATTTAGTGCCTCGATTCCTAATTCACTAAATTACTTGAAAAATCAATTGCAAACAAAATGCAATCCCAGAAACAAAATTTGAGGTATCAAAAATTACCGTGAGCGAAACGAAAACCTATTAGATAAAAAAAGTTAGTATTAAAGAAATCAAGAAAACTGACGAGTTTACTTGGCGTTAACAAATCATTCTTCAGTTATAATCGGTAAAAATTATGCGGTAAAATAAACGAGTCTAGTTTTCCTCATCGCTTGGTAACGAAACGAAGCGCCTCGCATGCGTACTGTCCTCTATATCTATGATCATTTAATTTTGACAAGATTTCATGTTTTGCCTAAGGAGTTACGTGTATTTCTTATTAAAATTTGGGCTACGTTAGTACACAAATGCGTGATTATAATATGTTAGGTTGGTGCGCTGGTAAACACGTCCTCTCAACTTAAACGCATGACAATCTTTTTAGACAGACGACGACACACATTAAATACAAGACAAATTGGATTGCATTTTGCAAAAAGGAACCACTAGCATTGTAATGATGCTAAGATTGTGCAACTTCATCTTTTGCAATAAAATTGCGGAAATCGTGAAAAACTATGACATTTAGATGGTAATTTTTGTCTTAAATTTACAGTTTTTAGCGAGTAAAATAGAAACTATGAATGGATAATCGGGATTTTCCTCCAAGACAAAAGAAGTTGCACAATCTTAGCAACATTGAAATGCTAGTGGTTCCTTTTTGCAAAATGCAATCCAATTATGCGACCTCCAAGTATTCCTTGGGGCGATGCCTATACGGATTCAGTCAGAAATTTCTCATCGCGGCGTGGGAACTGCGACAGTGATATAAATGTAAAGTGCTTAAACATAAATACGTATGAAAAACGGACTTGCACTGAAAAGGGTGGAATATACACACTGCGCAATACCCAGAATACGTAGCGCTCCCTATCGCCAAAACGGTGAACTTGTCCTCTAAAGTGAGTAAAGGACCCTCCAGAAGAGAGTGTCAGCAGCGCCATTGATAACTCGCAAGGGTTGAAATAGGGGTCATGAAGATTCCATCAAACCTAACAACCATTTCTCTATTTATCAAGATACATTTGTTTTTAATTAAAATCAAGCGCGGAAATTCATCAACCTAAAACTGAGCAGCCGCATTCATCGCTTATGAGATTCCATACAATGATGGCAGAATTAGGAAACATAACGGACAAATAAGGAGCATGGAGGACAAGGCGCATAAGTCCAGTTTTTGAAAAAATTCAGATATTAATGATTTCAAGAGCAATGATTTCAAGATTCAATGCATATTCTGTGAAAAAGTCTCCCAAATTCCAATTATTAAGCATTAAAAAGTCAGTTTGAACTTTCTTTCCGCCATTAGGATACATGTAATTTCAAAATTTCTAACACGTATTTCTCGAAATAGCAAAAACTGCACTTCAAGATTTGATTACTGATGATCGACGAGGTAGTTTATTTGTAAATATCGTCACCTTAAGTTCGTCTTTAATTTGGCCTTATTTATCAACAAGTCCACCGAGAAACGAGAATTTAGTCAATAATAAAATACTCATCTCACTTCATACTTTGAATGAATCGAAGCATGGTTTATGAACCTTTTAAAGTTATCGTCTACCTGTTATATGCTCACCCCAAATTTATCAAGGACAGACAACAAGCCTAAGTACACTAAGAAACGAGAAAAGTTATACGCTCAGAAAGTAAATGCAAAATCAACTCATAATGTGCTTTTCGCAATAATTGTGAGTACTTTATGAAGGTATCAAGACCAATCGATATCATACTGCAAATCCAGGAAAGTAAGTTTCAAATTAGTAAAAATAGATTGTATATTTTTATCGATCGAAAATGACGAGAGAAGTGGTTCATTTTTTGATAATTTCCTGCCACTTTTCTTGTGAACTGATGAATGGGATTACTTTCAAATGGTATCAGTTGGTTCTAAATTTAAAACTCCGTTCCCTTCCTTCTCGGAATTCCTATTCAGAGTCGCACCAAATATACCGTTCCCTGAATCCAGCGCTGCCTTTAATTCTTTCGCCCACAATCACAATGCACAACAAGAACGCAATAAGTCTATTTCAGCATTTCTTCTAATAGAGATAATATCAAAATCCGAGAAATCGTTATATATGTCTACCTCCCCACAAAAGATAGGAGTAACGTTTCATGCGAAAATGCGCTCGGAACATGGGCGCACGGAGGCGGGTCCAGGGGAGGCCTGCCCCCCCCCCTCCCCCTAGAATTGAAAATAGTATTAGCTAGCTACTCCCCTCCAGAAATTCTGAATGGTAGGAAAAAACGTTCGTCGAGGAAGATATATCTCTTTTAATGTAGAGTCTTGAATGAAAACACCGTGTTCATTCAGTTAGTATGCCCTAAAATTTTCATAATGGAAGCCTCAGAATGCGTCCAAATAGAGTTAAAATTCCAGATAAGTTTAACACAAATATTCGAAAGTATTTTGTGCTGAAAGTTTATAAAAAAATCGTAATTTTTCTGCAAACATTGATCGAAAATCTGCGTCGTGGGAGCCTCAAAATGCGTCCAAATTGATTTAAAATTTCAACAATTTTACGGGGGAGACCGTCGGATCCACCAGAGTCCCTGGTGGTGGGGTGGGGAGGCCAGCCCCCTCCCCAAAAACTTAATACCTGAACAAGATATGAGTGATTAAAATAATTTATATTTCTTGATTAGCAAAAGCACGAGTGACGTCGCACTTATGTATAACTTCCATTTCATCCATATCAAAAATGCTTGCCAGTATCTAATTAAGGAGTTGGTTTCCGAACTTCCTGTTGTGTAATTCTTTATTGCGTAAGATTTTGAAGATACACGAAGTGATGTTTTGTTTCTAGTTCAGAACTTGTCTTGTGTGGCCCATTGTAGAACCTTCAAAACACGGTCGGCAGACGAAGGAGGCAAAGCTAAAATAAATTGTAATTGGCTGATGCAATATGCGTACTATATGGGAGTGGAGGTGTTTGAACCCTACAACTTAGACAGAATGCTAAAAAAAGTTATTTCCATATAACTTTCAAAAAACTGTTCTCAAAGCACTAGAACCCACTCCGTGGCATCTTTCGTCTCCGTTGGTTGGATTACGGTGTGTTTCACTGCCATACAGTCACCGTGAGAGCTCCTCATTTGAGTCAAAGTTTCGCCTCGAACTCGTGCTTTCTTTTGTTACGAAACTTTTTTAAGACGCCGGGTACGAGCAGAAGATTGCCACGCTCTATCAAAATTACCCTGATTTCACATTTACATTATGACGCTGATAAATAATCCTAGGGCTAAAGCTTGAACAATCTTTCAAGCGGCGGTGCTTTAGTACCAACTCGGCAGCCAGCTTTCCACTTCCGAAGTTTCTGCATCCTCGGCTCAGGATCTCTCCTCGACATGCTGCGTAAACTAATAGCAAAGTGAATCACTAATTTTGAACTTTAAGAGCTTTCGCCCGCATATCATAACGAGTTACGCGCGAAACTACAAAAAAGTAGAATGTGAAATACGTTCGAGGGATGCCTTCACGATACCTGACATTAATTTTCCCTCATAGAATCTACAAGAGATCCGTGTATTGCGTCAGTTTTTGAGCTCTCTCTATAATTTTCATATAGACTTTCCTTTTGATGTGCTGGCTTTTAAACCAATTCCATAAATGACTAGATCTAATAAAAATTAGCCTAACTTCACGATAATTTGAGTATCTTCCTCTAAAGTGTTGGTTTTTTTTTTTAATACAAACCTAAGCTACGTTTTAACTGGAAATTTGGTAAATTTTTCTCCTATAATTTGAGAAAAGTTCACAAAACGATGGTTAAGGGACAATGCCGCTTATCTGCATACTAACGATTTTACAGAACAAAGAAAAAACGTTTATATGCTGTTGATATCCCTATGTAGAAACATGCCTTTATGGAAGAGCGAGAGACAGTAAGTGTCTCCTTACTGCAAAATATTATCCAACTGTAGTTAGGTCAATTCTGGTGAAATTCGTCCAAATCTAGATGAAACGTGTGCTTTTACAGTTTCTTGATTTTGCACCTGCGAGAATCAGGAAACCGGGGGAACTTTAAAATACAATATACCTGCAAATTCATAAGAGCGGCGATGTTATCTAAAATATGTTTGAGCCATTGCGAGAAGACAGCTGCCTCGTCACAATGAACGATGCCGGTGCTGACTCCATTGAGACCTCTGACTTCGAAAGCGTTCGGCCTCAGTTTGTCCGTCCCAAATATGTAACGTGTCACGTATGCCATCATCAGCGGAACTACAAACAAATAAATCGAATGTACTTGGGCTTAAAAATACAATTTTGAATTACACGTCAATTTCTAAAAGCAGGTGTTTTTTTTTTTAATTTGGAAGAAACTAACAATGTTAACCTAAGATCAGGAATAAACGAAGGTTGAGAAATAGAGTAGAATACTCAGAATTAAAAAAAAAAATCTGATTTTTTCAAGCTTGGTGGACATATTTAAAAAAAAATATATACACGCGGCCTCCTGTCCTTGTTGGTCAAAATGTAAAGAGAAATTTTAAAAATTCCTCATCATACTGAAACATTTATTCTTCACATTACAGTTGTGAATAATGTACCCTGTCACGTCAGAGTACCTATCCACGTTCGTGCTGGTTTCTCTCCTGATGCATTTGATTTTCTCTGATTTCACCAGTGCCAGACTTTCGAACATTCGAAATACAATCTTGTCCTTATCAGCAAACTTTAATAATCATTTATACTGTTTCAGGTTAGGTTTAATCGAGTAAAAAAAGAAACCTTAAAGCTGGCTGCTGGCTGCTGTTGTTATTCCTACTTAGAAAATACTGCTCGTTTTGAAACGCGCCGATCGAAAAAAAGCTATTTAAAAGAGGACACAAAACAAGTTTTAGCTCAGGATCCTAGCATTCTACGCTGTGTCCTAATCTCCCAATGTCAAGCAATATCAGTCAGCTCTCACGCGTTGATGCGCCTTCATTTGTATTTGATACTGTGCAACACCTCGGAGCCGCAATAGTTGCACGAAGCGCCGTGGCCGATTTCTGCTAGTTTTGATAGTTGCTCAAAAGTGCCTGGCATGAGTATGTGTAATACTGATATGAGCGTATTTATGCTAAAAGGAACTATGTGCGTAGGGATTGCGTGTGACATAGTTCCTTTTAGCATAATTACGTCCATGTATATAGTTCGGCTGGTGTTATGGGAGCAAACGCACGACTAACCAATAACCATAATGTACCACTGGACAAGGTAGGTATAAAGTGAAGCATTCTGATACATCCTAAATAAAATTTCAAGTAAAATACGATTTGCGCAGCGAAAATTACTGAAATTAACAACTAACAAAGATATATCATGTTTCTTAACGCGTGAATTCAAACCACCCGCTCATGAAAACTCAATGGTCTACGTGAGTCAAATCGCGCACTAAACGTTACCATGACAGTCTTTGTGATGTAAAAATATGGCAACCTCAATCTCGACGCTTTGGCTCAGAAATATAGATTCAGAGTTTTGTATAATCTGAACTATACAGGGTGGGAAATGAAAATTGTTCGATTGAGAAGCCTGTCGAAACCTTTGTGGTACGCGATTCGACTTACGTAGAGTGTTGAGTTTCTAGAGACCGGGCAATTCAAATTTTCCGCGACAAATGTAAAATAAAAACATTGATATATCTTAGTTAGGAGTTTATTTCAGTAATTTTTGATGCAAGAATCTTGTTCTACGTGAAATTTTGGTTAATAGTCATGTATCAGAATGCTTCGATTCCTACCTTGTCTAGTTGTCCATTTATTGACAACTACCCTTAAACGGAGAACTTATTTAACACCCTGTGCTCCCAGTGAATAAATATCTGCTTATACGCTGTAACTATCAGTGTGCGGTGGTTTTGGATTCGTGTAAGCCTCTTAGAGACTGCAATGGGTAACCATTAATGCTGCATTCTCTGGCGTGTTGCGCAGTGTTGTTGTGTGCAACTAATTGCACCGTTAAGTAGGCTAACATCAAGCTGTTGCCTTTATCGTTCAAATATGCGCCGAAAATAATGTCATCATACCGGGTCATTCTAATATCGCGCCAACTCACTACGCTACCGTGCTAAGGAAAAACGCCGTATGAGCTTTCAGGCGTTGCCAAATTTCCGTTGACTACTCACGAATTTTTTTTTAGGTATATTTAAATATTTTTCTTCCGATTTTTTACAGAATTTAGCTCGTAATTGTATCTAATTGGTCCGAAAATTTCAAGGAAAAATATTAATCATTTTCTTCAAGAATGAATATCTTCTGAGAGGAAAGGCAGCATTTGAATGCTCTTACGGCATTTTTCCTTGGCAGTTGGCACGGCAGTAGGGGTTTTTGGATCTTTAAGCTAATTTCCGATCATGAAAATCATCACCCCTCAAAACAATGAACTAAAGTTCTTTCTCAGAAATCGGCTGTTTTCGCCTTTGATTCCGGGTAATGTTGAATATAACGGTTTTGGCGAAATTCAGCCTGAATTTATTCCATGCTACCTCATTTTAGTTTCATTTCCTTCAATTTTATTAAATTGAGTGTAGCAACAAACTGCTTGTGAACTTCTGAATGATATTCTTTAACTTTAAAAAAAAAATGCATACCAAAATTCAAACCATAATAGTATTAAGTTTAAGTGAGACCCAAGTGTTGATCGAAACGTTTTCTTATTCACCATGTTAAGGTAAAATCTATGTAAAAAGGTGCGGTGGCGTTGTAAATATACCTAACATCCTCTTGCACATTGTTTCATTTTATTAAAGCATGGCCTGAGTCACAATTACTGCATATATTTGAAAAAGCGGCTAATAGGTACCTCAACGTTTGTTTTCATCATTGTGAGTAGCCGAAAACCAAAAAATCTTGTTATTAAGTTTTCTACAAATAAAATACATAAAATACGAGAATAAATTGGCAAACGTGCAACGCAACTAGATTTATTCTGATGAAACTCCATGTTTAATATTGAGGATTATATTTTTCCCATAATAATGAAGTTGCCTGGAAGGTTCATAGAATCAAGGGACACAGTAAGGACATTCGGCTAAAATACAATGAAATAATAAGGCTTATCAGAACTCGAGAGGAGACAAGTAAAACCGTTGATATAACAATCATGACATGCGTTAAAGCGTTTCTAATTATAGTTGATTCGGCGTTAAACGGGAGTTTGAATTCGGCGAACAATCAAACAACCGTAAAAGTATTTAATAACGCACAAACTTCCATCGAAGTCTCCGATCCCTCGCTGAAGGGACTTGGAATTGAGAAAACTTTCACAATAAAATAAACTTTTCGGAGGGGCGGCAAAGAAATATTGTGCTTCAAGCACACGTTGAAGGATAATGATTACTCATTTGAACAAAATTACATCCTACTTCTTTTGGAGGAAATGGAAGTTTCTTTTAGGGAAAACTCGTGAGCCAAAATCGTTTAACGACTTCCGTTTGTTTCACAGAGCAGATGTTTTAACTTGTAGCCTGCATACGTATCCACACGTACATATTGTATTGAAAAAATGAATAAGATTAAAATATCTATTCAAATACTCTAATGACATTTAATATTCATCTTTCATTTCTCTGATTTCCATATACATAATTTCATCAAGAGATCTGAAAAATAAGGATTAACATTTAATATGAATTGCTCTGAAAGGAATATCAATACCTGGGTATCTAACAAGGTAGAGAAATGGTGCTGGGCCCACACCATTTCGCGGGGAAAACAAAACCAAAAAATTTTCCAATCAGAGTCAAAATTTTCAAAACACTCTCCTCCCCTCAGTCTTGTACTGGCACTCATTAGTGCAGAAAAATTGTTGACTCTAATTGGACATTTTTTTTTAATTCATTGGCTTTGTTTTCCCCGCCAAATGGTGTGGGTCCAGCACCACATCTGCACCTTGTTACGTACAGTTCGGGCCATTTTTTAGTGTTTTATTTCCTCGTTACCTGTGTATCTAAAAACTTAATTGCTATGAATTAAAATACCTTACGAACGAACTCATCTTGAAATCATGTCAAGGACTTTTCTTGAGACAAATCTTTTCTAAATTTATGGGCTCCGAGATTCGAATAAAACTCGTACCGGACCTCTGCTCATGAATAAATGTTGTTCGAGATCATGCTTGTAATTTCGTATTCAGGAAAATTGAAGGCGTTTCTAGTCTGTTTGGCATATCCCGCGCAAGAGTATCATTGGGGTGTGGGTGTGAGCTCTTGCAGTATCTCAGTCCAGTATTTAAGTGGACATCGCATACTAAGTGGCTTATAAGAATTTAGAGAATTTTCTAGGTTTTAATTGTTCCCTAGTTTTATCTTTAAAGTGATTAAATTATTTACCTGTAATGTAGTCAATCCACTTTACAACAGTCTTCACAGAATCTAAAGAATTACAGTACCCTGTTTTTTCATCGTAACTCCAGTCACCTCCATTTAATGTGTTTTCTAGGCCGTTTTCTTCGTCACTGCCTGAAAAGGATAATGCTTAAATTCAATGCTCAGTTTTTAGTTTCATAGAGAGCAAGAGACATGTCTAACTCAGTGCATAGCTAATGAAATAAAGAAAATTATTTTCTCCCCTATTCAGTATTTTTTGGTAATATATGTAATTTTCCTGGCATATTTGTATAAATAATTAAGTTCTTCTTCAACATGTGTTCACCCACATATGATAAACAAATTGACTATATTTTTCGATAGTGAACTACCTTCTCTGACTCATTTTAGGAACAACATGTGTATCCTTTCTTTCTATAGTTACAAAATGTAGTCCAAATGTTTATCTGTCACTTCTTGGCACCGTAACTTCTGAAATCTGAAATGAATAATATAAGAGGCTTGGAAGACATGGCGCATGAGTGCAGTTTTTTAAAAAAAAAAAATAATAATAAAATTTTAATGATTTCAAATTAAACTAGTCTTAACGCATATTATGTGAAAAATTTGCTCCCAAATTATAATTTTTAGGCATCAAAAAGTCAGATTGAACTTTTTTCCGCCATAAGGGTCCGTGTAATTTTGAAACTTCAAACACGTATTTCTCGAAATAGCAAAAACTCATGGCACTCATGCGCCTTGTCCTCCAAGCCCCTCATACGTTTTTTGTACCATACTGCCGTGGTAAGGAAGAACGCCGTATGAACATTCGAGATTTGCCGAATTTCCTTCGATAAAATTTTCATTTTTGAGGAACGGCAAGAATAATTTTCCTTGACATTTTCAGGAGCTTTAGGTGAAATTGTGAAGAAAATTCTCTGAAAAATTGGAAGGAAAATATTCACAAGTTTACCAGGAAATTCGCGTTTTATCAAGGGAAATTTGGCAACGTCTGAAGGTTCATACGGCGTTTTTCCTCAGCACGGCAGCATATGGGGGTATTAAAAATATTGCACTCGGCCGATATTTTATCGTGAATAGAATAATTAGTAGATGTTACAGCAGTTGTGGTCCAAGCAAGTATTTTTACTGACACAGCACTAAAATAAAACACGCCGAAAACCCAGTTATAATAATTAAAAACTCATAAACTTACTCGTCTTTTGCAAAAATGGAGTCGCCGCTCGATAATGTTTCACTGTGAGCATGACTAAGTCCCCAGCATTGCGAAGAATGTTAACAGCCTCATCGTGATAACAATGAGTTATGAGCTCTCCATTGACTGTGAGCAACATGGAAGAGGCAAACAACGAAAATGAAATTTCATTAAATTAAGTCGGATATAATCGCAATCCAATTAATTTCCCCGTCATTGTGTTGATCATTTGAACGCATTTCTGCCAAACGGAACTATGTGTATTTAAATAAGAGCCCTGAGACCCAGAAGGATATATGCTCAACAGGGCTCACGTCAAAATGCACATAGTTCCGTTTGACAGAAATACGTCCATTTACGCGCGAGTTGGTAATATAGGTCGTAGTTGCGAGATCTTCATCCTCATTTTCTCTTAAACTTCATGGGTATTTCGTGGATAACAAATGTGAATGATGGGAAATCAGAAAAATAGTTTGGATCACTACAAGACAAATGCACAGAAAAAATAGGATAGTCGTCAGGACCAGTGTATCCTATTTTTTCCGTCTAAAAACTTGATAGGAGCATTGTGTTTTATTTTTTTAAAAAAAATGGAAGATACACAGGAAATGTGTTATTCAATAATTTTTCCAGTTTCACTAAACTCTTCCAAATTTCTCCCACATTTTTCTCGTGCAGTTTTGTCGTTAGGCAAAATGTTTCTACGGATCTGGGTGTTTCCTTTGAACTTTTAAAACCACCTAATGTAACACACTTACACCAAAAAAAAGGAGAAGAAGAAAAAAAAGACCACATGCAAGCAAAATTCGCTCATGCTATTTTCCTTTATTTTTTGTTTTTCATTGTGTATTTGCTGGGAGAGTTGGCATTCTTTTCGATGATAATTTAATTCGATCATTGCTATGGACAACAATGCGAGTGGTTATACAATTTGCATAGCTTTCTTTCATTATTAAAAAATGTCAAGTTCTGAGAACAGTAAGAATGTAGATAGATATCAGAAATAAGTTCCACGGAGAGACTCAAAACAAGTTGCACGCGATTGCTTAGTTTTTTGTGTAACTTCTGATGTTATCGTGATACGAATGCATTTGTTAACCCAGTTTCGTTTAAAATTAGTAAAGCGACTTTTTCCCGACCAGAAAGTTCTGTTCAACATTCAAAGGATAAACTCTCACAAAATTATCAAAAGTATGAGAGGAATAGTTTATTTCATGGACCCTCTGATACCAAGATGCGTGTTTTTACATGGAGTCATAGAAAAAATTGCACTTTGTCGATATTTTTCAAGTTTAATACGATTAAAGTCGATATAATGCAAAAAAATTATTTTCAATATGAAAATGTATTCTTTTTCATTAGATTTGTCTCATCTATTTGGAAACACTAAAATCTGAACGGGCATCACAACAATTCGTCGCCTTCCTGACATAAGGGAGTAACTACAGTCTGCAGTGAGCCGTGTCGTCCGTAAAATTCAATGCTTTTCCCGGCTCATCTGAATGTGGAGTTACGCCCTTTTGTCAGCCGGGCGACAAATTGAAGCACTAGGTGCAAAAAGGTCATTTCTTCCTTACCCTGTCTCGGTCATAGGACATTTCGTCAACGATTTTTGTCCGCGCACCTGTTTTTCCAGTTATTTACGTCCACGCGTTTTTTTCGGCACGGGAGTTTTGGTCCACGTGCCAATTGAGACCCAAAGTTAATTGTCCCGAATGTAAATACAAACGACAATTGCTCACGACGTTGTTGGATGAAAATGTATAATGTCTTGGAAGAATGAGGGTTTGCTTGTTTTTTTGTTTTGTCTGTTTGGTCCAAAGAAGAATAATATATAGTTGAGAGTTTTGGTAAAAATGGGGGAGCGTCAATTCCATGAGACAAAATTCACTAAAACTCTCTACACCTCTTTGGTGTAACAGGACTTAAATATTTTACAAGAAATTTCCACCTTATTATACCTGAACCGGATGAACCTCTATATTTGCCTCAGCTAAAGGCTCGTAGATTTTTTTGTGTACGATAAGTATCTTGATTTATTTTGCGAGGAAAGATCTGTACTTTTAAAGGATGCCTGTCATTCTTAATACGTTCAATTTCGTATAATACTGTGCAACACCTCTGTTGTAAAATAGTTACTTCAGGCGCCACCGCACGGCGGGCGAGCGGTCAGCTCGAAGCGCGCATTGGCGCCTACAAGCCTAAGTGGATACCTCAAGCATTGTGCAATGCGTGAAGTATCCACTGAGGTTAGTAGGCGCCAATGCAGTGTACGCCGCGCCGCTCCGCTCTGTTAGGCTTTAATATTTATACTCGCATAGTCAGCGTTTTTTAAATCATGATTTTGAAATGCTTGCACACTCTGCATTGATTATTCTCATTTAAATTGATGGGCAAAAATATGTATCAATTTATCAAAGGAGAATAATGATATAATGTGTATTTCTTAAATATTGGTGGTTCCGTGTCAAATTTAATGATTTCCAAAACGCTTTATTTTTTTCTTTTACATTTTGTGCTTTTATTGTGCTGCAGCGAGGTGTACCCGCAACCAAACGCTCAAAATTTGACGTCTTTTACTCTAAATGATCGATGTACAAATGGGTTAAAACTAAAGATTGCGTGCTTCTTGGTTCTTTCCCCTCTTTTATTCATTTTTCCAGTTTCTGTTGGCACAACTGCGGCTCACTGAGATTAATGTCGCTTGGAAAAGGTTTTACAAATATTTGTCACGTTTTAAAAATGTAAATATTTTCGAAATGAAGTAATAATTTCGTAAAGAAAAAATTGAAAAAGAAAAAAAGTACAATACATTTATAAGGTATATTGTACATCGAATATTTTAAGGATAAAAATAAAACCATATATTCATCAATGACAATTTAAAAAGATGATTCAAAAGGAGAAAGTAATAACATTTCATTTCGAAAATGAGCAACTATAACAACATCTCCTTCTCTCTCAATTTCTCATTTCCATATTGTCAAAATAATGTTACATACGGACTAAAATATAACGCTTGGACCAAGTCACTGTTGCTCATTTTACGTGTGGGCGTAAACTACTGGAAAAAAAAGGTGTGCGGACAAAAAATCGTTGACAAAATGTCCTGAAACCCCTGTCTCAGAATCTCCACTGACGTTTCTTCCGCCATAATTAAAGCAAATACATGGAATTCGTTTAAACGTACACTACATTTTCTTGATACAATGCTGAAAACGACAATTTTCAGAAAATTCATATAATAGTTTCCTCTCTAAAATATAAATTGGTAGTGGAGATTCCGAAACACTGCAACTAAGAAGTGTCCTTCCTGCACCCAACGCTTTAGCCCGTTATCGTGAAATCACCCTCCAGCACGGATTCCAAGACTTGAAGCCACCAAAATACGAGTGATACATAGGGAAAAAAGGAGGTGTTTGGATCTTGAGGATTGTTTACCCCGTGACGTGGGTCGGTACAACATAACGTCGATATTCCAGCAAAATTCGAAGCTCGAAGTATAAAAAATTGACCATAACGTCCGATGTTTTTGCTTGAATCAGCTCATGATATAATTTCAAGCACTTCATGTAGAATAACTTTTTTCTCTAAACTACACCGTTTCCAAGAAAATCGATGATAAAAACCGTCCGTGCCGACCTACGTCAAAAAAAAAAAAAATCCAAGATGCCCGAAATGCAAACATCTCTTTTTTTCTCTATGCGAGTGACGATTTTCTCGAAGCTTCAGTGTGCCTCGCTTAAAATGTTCGTCAAACAATTTCTCGTAGAATCCACGACTTTGCTGCCAATCATTTCCTTTCAGAGCCGCGGCAATATGAGGGCTGAAACTCAGCCATGGTTGACGGAGGCCTGAGCGAAGGTTGGAGGATGAGAGGATATTAAACATTGAATACCTTTGATAACAGCGTCTCCGACGAAAAGTTCTCCCGTTTGATCGGCGGCTTGACCCTTAAATATCCTGGATATCATTATCGGGAGGTTGTGCTCGGCGCCTCCTTTGATGCTCAAGCCTAGGCCGCCCACTTTCTGTCTCCGGAGCGGCACAATCCGAGCCTGTTGACGAAGCAGATATTACTTAAGAGCCGTGGAAAATTGCCTTTGCCTAGCACTCAATCATACACACTAAAAATGATCCTTGGAGTCGTACGTATCACAGTTGGCAAAACAGAATCTATGAGACGATTCCTAAAAGTCTACACCGAAAAAAAAGGATGCTAGTTTAACATTCTGGACTTAGAAAAGTATGCGACAACTGATAAAACGCTGAATTACTCTCTACAGCGGTTACTTTAGCAATGTCAAGATATAAAAATAACTGCTTTGGCGGTTAACTCAGCGTTTCGTGAGTTAGTTTACACTGGGGAAAAAAACACATTGGATCTAAAGTCCAGACTCTTGAAAACATCGACAAGAAAAAATACTCTTGATTTAATCGGATTTTTGCTTAAATCAAGAACCAAGCATCTTAATTTGAGCAGATTTCCTTTTGATTTAAACTTAAATCTGATTGAATCAAGAGTAAATTTTCTTGATGATTGAATCTTTTGAATTGATGCGATAGGTATATTGCATGCCGTTCTGACACAAAATATGGCGTCCATCGAATCACCTTTGTCTATGACCAGGTCACCAGGTTGCATACAGCTTAGCCAGTTTGGCAATAAAATGTATTTACTTCTTTATATTACCCTTTTCCGTTCGTGCGCTTACTAATTCGACTGGAATACGTGACTGTTAATTCTATCATGAATGATCGCTCGCTATTTTGAGCTGAAAACCTGGAGTAAATCAATAACTCCACCCTCGCTCCACGTCCACGCGTCGCTATTTATGAAGATTGATATTCCTCGGGGTTATGAAAAAGCTTTTAACTTTTTAAAACATGCATAGCTTTTTCGTGAAAGTGGCTCTCCTTTGACATCACTTTTCTTCTCATGGCTCCTGAGAGGCGAGCTTCACTTAACATAATGCATGCTAACAAAGTACGTGGAAGCCAGGTAAACAAATCGCTTCTTAGATTTTAAATTCTTGCACGGAGGTGGCGCCCTCCGCCTTAATTCTTACGAGCGCCGCACGATGGAACAAGCCGATTGAAAAGGTCGGACAAAATGTAAAAACTTAAAAAAGACTCCGTCAAAACAAAATGTTGATGTTTTAAGGTGGACTTTCAGCTTTTGTACAATGCATTCTGTGCACGGTCGATATATTTCAACTTTTAATTTTTAGGTAAATTAGTTTGGGAAATCGAAATTTCAGTCTGAGGGAAAATTTTTGAGGAATGTTCGCAAGGAGAATCATCCTCAATGTTAATATAAAATCTAAAGCACTGTTAAAAAAAATAAAATACCATCGATATCGATACATTGAAATCGGTTGCAAAATGTAAACAGTGCTTCTGACTTTCTTTTAAGATTTTGAAGGAATGATTTTCGGCATGAAAATTCCTTAATGATTAATCTACGACTGAAATATCGATTTTTTTTAAAAATAATCCATTACATAAAAGGGTTAAGATTTGAAAAAATTGATCATATCTTGTATGAATTGCACAAACGCTCAAGATTTCCCTGGAAGGTGAGTACATTGGTTCGCTCGTAAAATGTTCTTTCGTAAAATTTAAAATTTGACGCAACAGACATCAAAATTCAGAGTTTTATTCAAAACGTTCGTGTCCAACCTCCACGGAAAAAGCAACTTAGCGCTGAGGCCTAACATTTCAGATAAAATAGCGAGAACTAAAGTCAGACGTATTGAACCCTAAAGCTGTAAGGTCTAGCCCTACGAGTCGTAGGGCTTAGCCTTACTGCCTCTAATGGAGATGTTGCATATGTGAGGGATTTGCGATTTGACCATTGATTCTTATGTAAAGATGGTGCCACTGGTTTTCTCTGAAATCAACTCCCAAGCTCAAAATAGCTCTCAAAGTGAGGCCAAAATGGAGGGGATATCCCACCCTACCCTGAGAGTCCACCTCTACGTCAAAACAAACTCTCCATGCAAAGATAGGGAGCAAATACATTGGCAGGGTTGTCACTTTATTTGGGGACTCCAAAACTAAAAACACGGCAATCCTGTCAATGTATTTGCTCCCTATCTTTGCATGGAGAGTTTGTCTTGATGTAGACGTGGACTCTCAGGATAGCGTGGGATATCCCCTCCATTTTGGCCTCACTTTGAGAGCTTTTTTTGAGCTTGGGAGTTAATTTCAGAGCAAACCAGTGGTACCATCGTGTTTCTCGCGAACTTTTACATAAGAATCAATGGTCAAATCTCAAATCCCTCACACATGCAACATCTCCATTGGCACTTTTTTACTAAAAAAGTTAGGGCTCAGCGGTGAGTTTGTTTTCCGTATCTTCTTTTGACTCGCTGTGCGCCGCGAATGCCTACCCCAGCGCTCGCACAAAAGCTCCTAACAGACGAATAAATAAAATGCACGTTGCACGGTGCAGGGGGTCGCAGCCGTCGACTTCCTAGGATAGGGAAAAACTTAACTTATATAAATCGTCCCTCGGTAGACAAAAGGGCGTAACTTCCCCTTCAGGATACACTAAATCGCTCATACTATTCCATACTTTTCCAGGCTCACCTCAATGTGCAGTTACGCCCTTTTACGAGCCGAGTGAGGAAACGGGAGCACGGAGCCCTGGTCTGGTGTCTTGCGAACGCACGAAGCTCGGAAACCGCAACTGCGAGGAAACGCAAAGAGGATTTGCTGCTTGAAACAGGAATAAAGTATTTAAAATTGAGAGTCTCCGGGGCAAAAAACCGGAGGAAGGGGTGAGAGGGGGGTAGGGGTCTTAAGCGGATTAATTACCCGTGAATCGGTTGGAGACGCTTTTTGATTCACGTTGCGATTTACCGGAACTAGCTCCTCCTTCTGCAGCTTCAAACACTCGGTCGACAGTTGGAGCCTCATGGGAACGGGCTTGCTCTTCCCGTCGCTTACTTTCACCATGCCGCTCCGGACCTGGAAGAAAGGAAGAAATTCAGTTAGGTTCTTTCAATTCCATGTTGCATTTATTTAACTTGGTGCTCCTATTCCATGTCCGACAGAAGTTCCGGGATCCGGAACTTTTTTGTTCCGGTTTCTCCCTCTCCGTGATTGTCGAAAGTTCCGGGATTCTTTTTATATTTTTCCAAAAATTACGAAAAAGCACCGGAAAATTCAAAAGATCCGGAACATTTCGAAATTACAAAAGTTCCAGGATCCGGAACTTTTTTGTTCCGGTTTCTCCCTCTCCATGACCGTCTGAAGTTCCGGGATTCTTTTTATATTTTTTCAAAAATTACGAGAGAGTACCGGAAGATCCAAAAGATCCGGAACATTTCGAAATTACAAAAGTTCCGGAAAATATTCAGGAAAATCTCAAAAGTTCCGGAATTCGGTACTAGTTCCGGAACAATGGAGCACTGACTTAACTTGAAACAAGTAGGATTACGGTATATTACCCAAGATGCATGTCGCCGGTAAAACAGCAAAAGTGCATACCTCAGTTGCGGTTTTTCAAAATCTACGCTCCTAATTTGTTTTTCAAAATCTACGCTCCTAATTTGTTTTTGAAAAGGAGACAAAATCGGCATATGGCTTGAGGTTTTCACAGAATATTCTTTAAAAAGAGAAGAGAACTCACTGAAATTTTCAAAAAATGACGTTTAATAGTTTTCCATGTAGAAAGTAAAGTATGACAGGAAGTCTACAACGTCGCAAACCGAGATGCGCATTAAGGTTTAGTTACATGATCAAATTGAGCCATCAAACTGAAGCTCTGATTGGTGGAAAAAGACCTGAGGTAAGGATGCGACCAATGAGAGGCCCAATTTGATGGCTCAATTGGATCGTGTAACTGAACCATTACTGCAATTTCACCATTGATGTGTCGCAGGCATTTAGCAATCGGTAGCAATTAGTAAGCTACTCGTGAATGAACAGAGAAGCATAAATCTCAGGAATTCAAGAACGAGATTAAATCACTGATTATTTTACCTTCAATATGAATACTTTTCCCCTCCATTCAAACATGGTAATAACAGGCACACTGAAGTGTGAGTGGAGTGAAATCCGTGGCTTTACGGTTCGGATTGGACATGCGACTCAAATAATTCCGTGACAAAGCGTGGAGTATCCCAAAAATTGAAGGCGCTCCGATTCGAGATCATGCTTTTCAAGGTGGGGACCCATTAAATGTTCATTACGCTAACTCGCATCATTGCAATGGACCACTAGACAAGGTACGAATTTAAGCATTCTGATACTTGTTTCTTAATTACAATTTTACGCAGAATACGACGCGCACAACGAAAATTACCGAAATCAACTCGTTTCAAAGATCTTTAATGATTCTTATGCGTGAATTCAAACCACCCGCTCATGAAAACTCAGTGCTCTGCGTGATTCACATCGTGCGCTAAACGTTATCATGACAGTCTCTGCAATATAAAAATCTGGCAACCTCAATCTTGAGGCTTTGGCCCAGCTGTAGCAAATTGCTTATAGTTTGAACAACACATGGTGGGAATAATGAACATTAATCGAATGAGAAGCTTGTTGAAACCGTCGTAGTGCGCGATTTGACTCACGTAGAGCTTTGAGTTTCTTGTGAGCGGGCAGTTCAAATTACTCGTAACCAATGTGAAATAAAAACTTTAATATCTTCGTTTGGAGTTCGTTTCATTAGTTTTCGTTGCGCGAATCGTGTTCTGCGTAAAATTCTGGTTAAGAATCATGTATCAGAATGCTTAAATTCGTACCATGTCTAGTGGTCCATTGATCAAAACAACATGCGAACCGCCATTGCCCGGCGATTGCTGATTCCCTGCAAAACATTGATGCCTTTCTGTGTTTTCGTAATTTTGTCCATGGCGATTCTTGCAAGTTGGTGATACTTTTTTCCCTCGATTTGAATGTTAATATTTTCGATTATAGGTGAGACAACCTAGAATATCTGGAATTGATTGTTTGTCATATTATGTATGAACGGAAGGAATTAGTGTCACAAAATTGCGAAAATCGCTCTATTTGATAAGTGAGTGAAGACGAAAGAAAAGAAGAGGGGCGAACACTACCTTAAGTGACGCAAAAATTGGAGCAATTGCCGAATTTTTAAAAAAATATTGTATATTTCGTAAAAATGTTGTTGAGACATACAATGTTTTACGCAATGAAGGGCTCCAGCTAGGCTTGATGTAATTTTTCACAAAGAATCACAGAGCTTCGTGACGAGGTTTGCAGGGCGAAGAGGGCTAAACTCTACACAGCGTGACTTTATCCATGAAAGGCAATTCGCCCCAGATCTTCGATCTGATCCACGAGCCAAAATTGGCCACTTGACCTCGCAATGGAAACCAGCCCTGATGCCCAATCTCATTAAGCTTTCAGCGTTTCAGCCGACGAGGTGGGCATGGAAGGCCCCCACCGCTAGGTCCATGAATATTTGAGGATGTTGCATCTGATTGAGGAAATGCATAGACAATACGTCTCACACCTCAGAACTCCACGCGAAACCCCACTCTATTCATCTTGAACACAGACTAAACGTCGTGATTTTCTCCGTAGCGTTTCCTGTCATTCGTTAGACCCACCCCCCTTTTTTCATCCTGATTAATGCGACCCGCAATGCACAAACAGTGCCCTTTCAAAGATGCAGCATAATAATCCGCAATATACTAAAAGACTAAAACTATCTCACATCACCAATTCAACTTTCGACCCCCAATCATTTTTCCCGTTTATGCCCCTATATGTTTCACGTGATTTTATTTTGTTTTCACAACTTTTTGTTTTAGTAAAACAAATTTTTCACGTAATCGTAGGATCTGGCAAAAATAAAGATCTTGAATGACCTTTCGCTCATTTACGATTTTTTTACCCTTTTTTATTTTCTGTTATGAAGCCTAAGTATAGAAATTAACTATAGTCATCTCATTGATTTGTCGACATTTTGCAGGTAGTAATCTTAAGATATGCCTGCTGTCTTAAATTTTATAAAAATGATCACGGGTTTTTTTGTATATATATTTCTGGCCACGAAGTGGCCCTCCAATACCACATAACAATTTCCAGGATTTGGGCTGCGTGGCGTGGCTGCAAAGAAGCACCCTACATAGAGAAATAGCTTTGCAGTCAATATAATTCAGTATAATCGCATCAAACACAGTGCGGCCGGCGCGGTGCTAGCGCGCACGACGCGGAACGCATTGTGGCGCCTTACAAGACCGCAGGATACTTCATGCATTGCGCGTATACTACGATGCGCGCTCAAGTCGTTGAAAAGAGGTATTTTCTTAGTGTGGAGCTTACCTCAGTGTACACCTCCGAACAGTGCACCGCGAGATTGCAGTCCTAGAATCACAGGATTGTAGAGATTTTGCATTCCTATATGTTTTCCAGTATTAATATAATATATAAGTGGACATTTTTCAAGTTGGAATGCTGTTACGTCCTATCGTCCGGAAAACGCCGAACTTAGCCGAGTTTTAGGGAGAGGAAGTGGACCCTTTTTGTATCACAAATGTGGCAAAATTTCCATTCTTGGTATCACATTCACACAAAAATTAACTCTTGCAATCTAGCCTAACTTCGGCAATTTTTGCAAAATGACCTAGGTACGCCTGCGGCTAATATCGAATAATTAGGGGGGGAGGAGTCTATCGCGGCCCCGCGATTGGCTGATCTGTCGGCGATTTTCCGAGCCCCTTCGATCAGCCAGTCCGCCTCTGCTCTACTAACTCGCATATGCAACGTTAATATTTTCCGTCGAGGTGATATAAAAACGAACCTCGGCTTAGGTGTCTATAATTTTTGTTCACCTTACTAAGATTCATATTTTCTTAGTGACCTTTATTATAATTTTCGATTAATATATTATAATAATATTATATATATATTATAATATTCGATTCCCGCGACTGAAAACTCCAGTCACCTGTACTAAAAACGTCAATGATCTATTTGAAATGAAGTTCAGTCTGCATGTCACCGAAGTTCCTTCCTTTCCACCCCTCCCCCCTCTCACTGACATTTTACATGTTGAGCCTCCCGTACAAATTCGAATGTCTCCTGTCATAATTAAATAATCCTGTTTCCTCTCGCTTTCTTGATAACAAACACATACATTTGCCTGGGTGCGGAATACAAATTATTCGATTTAAATACAAGACAACCCCCGGGGTAGCTAATCTAATAATCTAACTTCTTGACTGCCTGACGAGCGATAAATCCCCGTTTTCGAGGGAACGGCTGGCGTCCATCACGGTCTGAAATTCAAACTGGATACACCTCTTGTCGCATTGTGTATCGCGAGCAAGCTTAATCCCTCCTCGGAGGAGCGGGCTTTGAATTTAGACTGGCGCAGGAACGGGAGCTCGCTAAGTGGTTAATTGGATTATGGGTTCATTATCGGCGGGATGCTTTCCCATGAATGGGATACTCCGTTATTACGTTAGACGTCAGTTGCCGGTGCGTTTAATGCTTTCGCAGCGTCCCGCGTCCCCGCCGGCGCCTCGGGGATCCGGGCCAACGTCAGGCGCCGTCACGTTCCCGTGCCACCCTCCAAAGTGGCACCCATCGGCACCGACGTCGCGTCTCTGACGTAAGGGTGTATCTCGATTTTTACATGAGCCTTAGAGAGCATGGATTTATATGTAAAATAGGGATCACGTAGAAATTGAGATATGACGTTAGGTCGGAGGAGTGACGGCCTCTACGCATAGAAAATCCAGGGTTGCGGATCCAGGGTTCGCCGCAAGCACACTGAAAAAAAAACACATTGGATCTAGAGTCCAGACTCTTAAAAACATCGACAAGAAAAAGTACTCATGATTCAATCAGAATCTAGCTTAAATCAAGAACCAAGCCTCTTAATTTAAGCGGATTTCGTTTTGATTCAAGCAAAAATCCGATTGAATCAAGAGTATTTTTTCTTGTCAATGTTTTCAAGAGTCTAGACTCTAGATCCGATGTGTTTTTTTTTCCAGTGAGGGTTCGCCGCAAGCAAGGACATTGATGCCGAGCCGTTGCCAGCAGGGTAGGACATTTCGACGGTGAATGTGCAAAAATGCGTACCTCAGTTGCGTGTTTCGAAACGTTGCGTTTTTTTTTTTTTTTTTTTTTTTTTTTTTTTTAAGGAGACCGAACCAATGTCATCGATTGAAATATTCACAGAATATTGAAGTATCAAGTGGAAGAGAATAATCACCGGAGTTTTCAAGAAATGACGCTTATAGCTTTCGATGTAGATAAGGAAGTAATACGGGAATTTTGCATTGCCGCAAACCAAGATACGTATTTCTGCAGATTCATTATCGATATGGAAACTGTCGTCGTTCCCCAAACGCACACTGGATAAAAAAACACATTGGATCTAGAGTCCAGACTCTTAAAAACATCGACAAGAAAAAATACTGTTGATTCAATCAGATTCAAGCTTAAATCAAGAACCCAGCCTCTTAATTTGAGCGGATTTCCTTTTGATTTAAGCTTAAATCTGATTGAATTAAGAGTCCTTTTTCTTGTCAATGTTATCAAGAGTCTGGGTTCTAGATCCAGTGTATTTTTTTTTTTTTTCAGTGCAGAAAAAACTTTGATTCATGAGAAACGCTTTTATAAAACAGTTTTATAAAAATCTGAGTCAGATGACCGAATTTTTAAGTCAAGAGAACCAAAACGTAGTTCAAGTGACTGGCATTTTGTCAATTTATTTAAAATTCAATCCGGGAGCGATTCTTTCTAAAAAAAAATTCTGAGGGAGGCAAACCATATCTCGAACCCTCTTTCTTGATATTTCCAAATAGCCCCTTTAAGAAGCTGTCTTGGGATTGCCACTGCCCGTGATGAAATTGTCCTAGCATAGTGGGAGGCTACAAGCTATTTAGGTACAGGAAACTCACCTTTGAGTTATTATCCACGTCCTCCTGGATGGGAGCGCCCGTGCCTTTTAAATTGATCCGCATGGCGCTGAGCACAGAAAAACAAGAGTTAAACAGATAACATGGTCATCTCAGAGACTAAATTTAACAAGAATAGAGAATGCGTTTATCGACGAGAATGCTAAAAGTCAAAATCATCGTGTGAATTCAGTTTTGTTGAAACAACCATACCAGGATTTCCATGATTGAATTCTGTCGCTTCCTGGAGAGAGAGAGGAAAATGACCCTGCAAATTCTACAACATTACATTCGTGCAGAGTATAATTTCAATGAACTATTTGGACTTTTTTCAATTAGGAACTGCCTGGCTAGGAATACCTAGCTCATCCGTAAAAACACTTATGTGCATAAGAAACAGATAGTGCATACGTCGTTTCTAACTGAACCAGAAATAGTTCTTAAATGCCAAATTTTGTCCATTTATCGTCCTATAAGCTCAGTAATTCATCGCACCAAAATATCTAATTTTGGATATCTTTTCAGGCGGAGCACTAAAACATGACCTACATTGTGCAACAAGGAACTATGACTTCAGACTCACTTTAGAAACAACGTTTGTGTCATGTGTTTCTTTGTGCAGATGGATTCTCTTATGGATGAGCCAGAGATGTTAGTTCCGTATTGCAAAACGTGGTCCAATCATAAAAAAGGTGTACTAAATATTATATAAACATACTTATATGATATTACATAAATATGAATATACTTATATAATATTTATTACCATGATACCTAAAATATATATTAGTCCTTTTTTGTCGATAACGAGTCTTTGCGTACATTATATGCGCTTATAGTCATAAACAAGCATTTTATTGAAATGACATATTATGCCAGGCGTGTGCTAGTATGACAGCGTTTACTCGTATACAAGCCCAATGGCGCCATGCCTATAACAAGATTTATCTGAATCTAGCTGCATGGCTCGCGCGCAGACACTTGAAATCTCTTTCAAAAAAAGTGCCATCGAGTATTTGTTGATGTTTGTCAAGTTGTATGCACTTCTGAGTGAAGATCGAGTGCGTCAAACGGAGATGAAGTGGCAGATTCGATCGATGCTACAGAAAAATACAATGAAAACTAGGACTTTACTCCTACGCAACATATATACAGACGGGAGAACATTGACGCACAAAGTGGCAATCCTTGATGTTATTGTCATGTAACAGAGCAAAATTGCACACCTTTCAAACTCCTTTGACAAAAAAATAAAACACTTAAAATTACCGTACCACGGTGACCGCGACAACTGACGTGGGATCTAAGTCGTAGGCTGTAAGTTCTCGAAAATTCGATTTCATTCGATTTGCAGGTTATTTGCAAATTTGACCGACTCCGGTATCATTTCTTATCTATTCATGTAACGATGAGGTCTTATATTTTTAATCCTGGGCTCTAGAAACATTAAATACTCGAGTCGCAATTAATCACAATTGCGTATATTCAAGGATCGTATCTCGGTGGTTCTAATTTAAATGAACAAAATTTGAATCAAATCGTTTCAAACATCGATTGTTTTCCATTCAAAAATAACGAGGATTTTAAGTTTTTGAAATATACGTTGATAAAATAATCGGTTACAGCAGTGCATAGCAAATTATTGTAAAAACCTCGTCCATCCCATTACATGATGATGAAGAGAAATTTACACCGGTTGTCCTTGCATCATTGATGATAACAAGGTGGAGGAAATCCTGGGTCGCAACCGTGGCCAACGTGATGATAAGCAGCAGAAAAACAATTTTTTTAATGAATGTAAAATGGAACAAGTGCCTGAAGATGCGTCCATTTTGCTCGACTTTCTTTTAAGCATTATGGAGAACTGCCAAATTTTTAGGCAGAATAGCCGGATTTCAGATTTTTGATCCTCACGACCAAGGCACATTCATATTTGACGCAAAATGCACATACAGTACTAATACACTTCTTTTGATATTTTAAGGGAAAAGGATGAAGGTCGTGCACTTCTCTCACTGCGAGATACAAATGCAATCTAATAAATAACCAAATACAAAAGGTAAGGTGTAATAAGAGCAACTTTCTAAGGACGGCGCGGCTTCCTTATCTTAAATGCAGATACAGGTTTTCTTAGTGCAAAAAGTTGGCCACTGGGGACATTTTCGGAAGGTTTAACTCTCTTAGATGCATTTTAAAGCAACTTTTATGCAAAAATTGGCCACATGCAAAGTTGAAACGCTACCTCATCAACAATCCTCGAAAAATATCTCATATATTTTCCTTTTTCCTGAAGCATCAGCAAAACTATTTACCATCGAGGAACTTTAGGGAGTTCTTAATTAGAGAGTCTTAACCGAGAAACCGGCTTTAAGGTAAATTAATGTTATGCAGATAGTCACTGATTCAAGCCTATCCTCGCTTTTTAAGAGCCGCGCCCATATGCCATTCATTATTTAGGTAAGTGTTTTCACAGTTTTTCATTCACACAATGTGCTGCAATCCCTAAGTCTAATACTTACAATGAGTATCTACTTTGAGATTGAGCAACTTTGAAGACAAACATACGCCCTCCTCTTGATGAAAATTTTTTATCTCCTCTGATAGAAGGAGTAACAATCACTATTTGTAGTTTTCCGCAGAATGGATATTCCTAACTGCCATAAATCAAAAACCTGATGATCTCTCAGGTGCTTGTAAAATGTTCATCTATCGTTTCCAAATAGCCTTAAAATTATTGAACAGCAGTATTAAATACTCATGGTGATGATTATAATGATGATGAGGATGACATAAGTGGATCCAAGGGGAGGGGGAGTAAGTGGCGCCCCCCCCCCCGACTGCCCAAAAAGAAAGGAAGGATACATAAGGAAAGAAAGGAGGAACTGAGGAGTGAAAAGGGAAAACGCTCAAATGTGGTAATTATTCATGGCAAAATTGACTCAAACTGCATATTAGATGCTTTAACATTTCGAAAACATTTTGGGATTAATCTCTGTTAATCCCCCGTATCCCCCTTCCACTCCTCACGTTTAAAGTGTCTGGGACCGCCTATGGATGATGATGCCTACACTGGAAAAAAACACATTGGATCTAGAGTCGAGACTCTTAAAAACATCGACAAGAAAAAATACTCATAATTCAATCATATTTAAGCTTAAATCAAGAGCCAAGCCTCTTAATTTGAGCGGATTTCCTTTTGATTTAAGCTTAAATCTGCTTGTATCAAGAGTCCTTTTTCTTGTCAATGTTTTCAAGAGTCTGGACTCTAGATCCAGTGTGATTTTTTTTTTTTTCCAGTGTAGTCTTCCATTCCCACTCGTTCTTTTGTCATTCAAAGCAATTTCAACAAATCAAACTTACTGAAAAAAGTAAGCACACTACCCCTATCGGTGAAAGCCGATGATCTATCGAGTCTACTTAATTTATTGGGAGCCTCACAAAAATATTTTACTCAGAGCCATGTTGATGCGTCTTCCATCCCCCGGGAATGGACCCAGCGTTGCCATTATTAATGATTCACTAACCCTCAATATTTGATACGATTCTATGGTCAGTTTTTGATGATTTTAAGACCATGCTTAAACCCTGAGTCACAATAATCACTCGCCACCCCATTCCTCGAAAAATGTCATTCCACTCGGATCAGGTTGATCGGATAATAGAGGCAGCAATCAACGTCCGTCAGCTCACATTTACAGTGAAATCTTCTTCGTAGTTGATTGAGAGCTTTGCGGGTATTCATTGCTGAATCTTTTTCTCATTAGAGGTCTCTAAAAAGGAGATTGTAAATGTCAGCTCAGTTATTTTGATCTACTTCCTTGCAGATGGTAAAACTAAGATAAAATGATATTGTATTCTTACAATTTTTGGATGGAGAAAAGTATTTAAGGAGACTTTACAAACTTTTAAAGAACTAAGGGTAACATGAATGCAATATTTAGGATCTGACAAGATGTTGACTTATAAAATCATCGTAATGGCAGAGGTTTGGAGGCATATCGTTAGACCTTTTCTCTCTTTTTCCCCTGTTTTTGCATCACTTTATTGGAAGACGTGACGTGCAAATACTAGCTGCAACAGCTAAAGCACTTGCTTTAAACAAACATATTACAAAGTGTGAATCAAAAATGCTACTCATCTTAAAAATGACTCATTGATGAGGAGAGTTGGAAAACATACACCTTGAGTGCAACTTTCGAAATCTATGTTTTTCATTTATTTTTTAGCTGTAAAAACAAATGACCGTCATTGACGACTTACACTATGGACAGCTTCGTTCTTGTTTATTAACGAAAACACTACATTCAGGTGAGATTTTTGCCGCTGGAACTGCCCAGAATTATAAATAACTTTCCACATGACATTGAATGTAACCCATTCTTTCATATGACCAAGCAACACACAATACAACCTTACGGAAGAACGACAATTATGTGATCGTAAAATACCTTAAATGTGCTTGTGTAATGTGTAAGGCATCATTCACTCTTTGGGAAATTTTCTATGCCGATTTCATGAAGAGAAGCTAATTAAAATTTGCTTTCGATATCACCGGATAAAAAGTTAAATCGCACCATAGAACTTGCAGTCGAATCTGTTATATTATGATAAGTGTCGTGTGGGTTGAACTCTCAACTGTCACTGAATAATGTATTTTGAACTCGAAAATGAGAATGTTTGGTGTGAAGTCTCATCAACGAATATAAACCTAATTAAATTTTCATAAGCATCACCGTCAATGTCAAACTTCAGCGTCACCGATCCTTGAAATAAATGAGCAGCTCACATGTCAAGCATTTTCTTTCTTGTTTCATTATAGGTGGATCAAAACACATACAATGGGGGGAGGCGTAAGGGAGGTCCGGGGGCCTTTCCCAGAAAATGTTTGAATTTGTAAAGTATCTAATATGCAGTTTGAGTCAATTTCGTCTGGAATAATTACCAAATGTAAAGTAATTACGGGGTATTGCCTTCTCCTTCGCTGTGTTCCCCTTCTTTCTTCCTTTTCTTTTTTTCTTCCTTTTTTCCATGCAAACGGGGGGGGGGCGTGGGCCCCCTGGATCTGCCTATGCGTTTCATGCAATACATTTCAAAAATCTGAATTCAAATTTTCAGATTTGAACAGGTTTAGGTTGATCATGCCAAAAATGGGTGTACAAAATGGGGCCAATATAAAGGGGAGATAAATTCGACTGAGGAAACAAACTTGGGACCAATAAACATACACAAGCATGTTAAATTCACAAAAACCATGAATTTTTCCTAGTCCTCTTCTAGCACACGAACACACTAGGGGATTGTTGATGATGCAAATCGATGGCTAAAGTAAAAAATGCGTATTCTGATTGCAACGTTTTAAAATCTCCGATTATTTCGTATGTTTTTTCATTGAAAACTAACCAAAATACAATCAAAAATTCTTCCTGCGAATACTCTAATAAGTGAAAAAATTCACAGTAAATTTCAGGATGAATCGAGGGCTAATTTTATTTTTTAAAAAAACCAAACATAAACAAAAATCCGCGACGCGGCGATCCGAGATACGCGTTTTTTTCTTTTTTCTTTTTTTTCACTTTCGCCATCGAAATGTCAAAACTCGTCATTTATTTACTCGACACTCGAAACGTTGATGAAATCAGCATGAAAAAGTCAAGACGAGCTGTGGAGAGGAAGAAAGAGCGTAAGTGGTGCGTAAATAGAAACAAGTACCTGGTTCCGGGAAACTAATGAAAACACTCGGCTGGCACTCGACTTAGCCCGAGAGTCACTCCTCAGATCCTCGATGCTCGGCGCCTACGGGTGATTTTAATCGTCACGTGTAGCCTCCGCAAAAGTCGGATTTTGAAATTGTAGCACACCTTTTTCAAATACATACTGTGCATAGCGATAGCGACGACACCCCCGGTATAACGCGAATTGGCGTGGATCTCGATCGATGTAACACTAGCGACTTTATGATCTCGCGGAGGGCACTGATCTGGAGGGATGAAGCGCGGTGTGTCGATGGCAAGGAGGCGTTTGCGAGTCTGTTTTCGGTGGAGATCGCCCCACGTAAAGACGGCACGGGGACTTGTGAGCCTCGCCGCGATCGATAGCCTACCCGCCGCACCGCACCGCACCGCCAGCCCGTCCCGTTCCTGCCTTTGCCCTCGTTGTTTCCGCAGGAAATCAACAGATGGCGGCACTTCCGTCTCGAGCGCGCCAACTTTAAAAATTGATGCCGGCTCCGGCCCTGGTTAGACTCGTTGATGGGGGATGTTGAATTTTTAACTCTGGGCTGACCGACTCGGTTTTTTGCTTTGTTTTTTGTTCGCTGGAAAAAAAACGCATTGTATCTAGAGTCCAGACTCTTGAAAACGTTGACAAGAAAAAATACTCTTGATTCAATCGGATTTTTGCTCGAATCGAAACAAAATCCGCTTAAATCAAGAGGCTTGGTTCTTCATTTAAGCTAGATTCTGATTGAATCAAGGGTACTTTTTCTTGTATGTTTTTAAGAGTCTGGACTCTAGATCCAATGTGTGCTTTTTTTTACCTATGGCGCATTGAAAATTGGGAGAAAATAGGAGGAAGAGGAAGAAGAATATGAGAAGGAGGAGGAATTAAAAAGAAGAAGAAGGGGAAGAGAGTGGAAAAAAGGAGGAGGAGAAGAAGAATAAGTAATTCTGAGGAAGGAAAAGGAGAAAGATCGAGGAACAAAAAGACATAAGGAAAAACAAATTTTCTTCTCCCTCTTCTTCTTTTTCTTCTCTCTCATCCTTTCCATATTTCCTTCTCTTTCTTCTTCTTTTGTTTCTGATTCTGCTTTCTCTTTTTCCTTGATTCATTCCTGAACTTGTTCCTCATCTGCATTTTCCTCCCCTCAGCACTTTAATGAGAGGAGCGAACAAACGACGAAAAAAAGGAAGAAGAAGTAAGACAGCAAGATACGAACGAGGGGGAAAATAATAAAAACGAAAAAAAAGAGAAAATGAGAGTTTTCATTTTAAAGTGTCGCCGAGAGTGTGGCTCCCATTTTCCGATTTCAGTTAAATAAAAAGCGATCAATGTTGCACAATGGCGCTCTTGCATGTGTCAGGAATTTGAGATTTAAGTCTTGATTCCTGTGTAAAATTTTGTGAAAAATATTTTCTCTAGTAAGCTCCGTACTTTTGAAGGATGCCTGCCATTCCTAATATGTTGGAGCGCCTTCAATTTCGTATGATATTGTGCACTACCTTTGGTGTAAAATAGTTGCTACAAGCGCCGTGATACGCGGCAGCGCGGCGCGGCGGGCGGGCAGCCACCGCGGAACGCGCACTGGCGCCTACAAACCTAACAGGGATACTTCACGCATTGCGTAATGCGTGAAGTATCCCTGTTAGGTTTGTAGGCGCCAGTGCGCCGCCGCTCTGCTTTGTGTTAGGCTCTTGGTAATATTTAATCTCGTGGAGTCAGCGTTTTTAAACTCATGACTTTGAAATGTTTGCACACTCTGTATGGATTATTCTCATTTTAGTTGATGAAAAAAAAGTATGTACACTGAGAAAAAGCTATGGTTTATAAACCTATTAGTGGTAAATATGGAACACCTATAATAGTCGTAAATAAACTAATGATTCTCGGTCTGTGAACCATACTAAGGTCTCTGTACCTAATTAAGGTACAGAGACCATAACTAAGGTATATGTGCTATTATTATATGTAGAGGTACTACTATTAGTGGTGTTCCATATTTACCTCTAATAGGTTTATAAGCCATAGTTTTTTCTCAGTGTAGTAAAGGACAATATAATGTGCGTTTTGTAAATATTTAGGTGATTCCGTACAAACTTAAGGATTCACAAAGCACACGAAAATTCTACACAATTTCTTATAGCCTTTTATAGCCGATGGCGAAAAAGTGTATAAAGCCCGGCAATGGGAACTATAGCCCGACTGTATACTTTTTTATCGCTTCGTGTAGCCCGGCCGTATGATTTTTTTCCACTTTCTATAGCCAGCTACATATATAAGATTTTTTATCGCCTTCTTCAGTCGGCTATAAGAACTCCTATGGTATTTTGAAACGCAGCTCCTATCGCCAATTTTTACCAGGGATTATAGGCCTCAACTTTGACAGCTTTTTTTGAGTTTTGGAGTTCGTTTCAGAAAAAAAATCAGTGGCACCATCGTGTTCCTCGCGAAATTTCACGGGGAAGAAATACTTAAATCGCAAACTCCTCACACAAGCAAGAGCTCCATTTTCGCAATACCTGGTAGTTTTTATCAAATTTTGAATTTCCTCACTTCAAATGACCAAAAGAGTTCGTCAGAAACGTAGGTACTTATACCTTTGCTCAACAACAATACAATTTTCTGGAATAAGCCCAGTTCTACGACCACTGATAAAACAGGATGCTTACTTGCGGCAAGATCGTTGCAGAACGGGGTTAAGAGCCTGTTAGCTTTGGCTGCTTGGTTATAAGATTACCGGTTCATGTATGCAGAGAGGCTCCTGTTTAGGCTGCAACTTATGCTCTTGAGTATTGACCGCACTACCGCCCTCCTAGAGAACAATACTCGCGGTAGGAACTGGAGAAAAACGGAGATTAGAGCAGCGCACTGCTACACTAATGAAAAACGGCGTATGGACACTCGATTGTTGCAAAATTTTCTCTCATGAAATATACTTTTCTGGAAAATTAGGAAATTTTTTTTAGATTATTTTGGAAAATTTTTCTCGCAATAGAATGGAGTTTGTTCTCCACTTATGGATGCATATAAGTGCACATAATTAAGAGAGGTGAATCAACCCGAAATTCATGATTAACGCATGAAAAAAGCCTCGAATCCGCTACCTGGCGCCAGAGGCGGATCCAGCAATTTGGCAACACCAGATTTCCTCCATTTAAACCTACGCTAAACAATCGATTTTTGTCGGAGCACCTAACTTCTCCAAGAGTCGATACATTTCCATAGGTTTAAATGGAGAAAATACGATGTTGCCAAGTTGCTGGATCCGCCAATGCCTGGCGCAAAATCTGCGTGGTTTGTAACACGCGTTTCTGGAGTTACCGCGATCGCGGATACTTTCACCTAATTTCTTGATAATAAGGCGTGTCAAAACAGTTATACAAGCTTGTTTTTATATCTGTTTACGACAGGTTTTCCCACATCTCCTTCCTTGTGCAAATTTGTTTGGTGATGACGGAAAAAAGGTACCCGCGAAAATTTCAACGAATTTGTGGACAGAGACTGTCTGACTAGTATACAGGAGTTGATACCACTATTCGATCATATGGGCGCTTGTGTTGCATACATTAAAAATTGAAGGGAAACTGACATGCCGTTAAAAACGACACTTTTGGTTTGGTAGAACACTATTTTTTTAGTGTTTAGCACGCTATTTCAAAACGACGCCACTATTTGACCCTTGTTGAGAGCCCTTGTTGGGTACACTAAAAATTGAAGGAAAACTGGCATGACTTTAAACCAACACTTCCAGGTTGGTAAAAAGCTTTTTTTAGTGTGTCCCGAGTATGCGTGTCGTCCAATTGTGTTGTCACTGTTCGATAACACGGGAGCCTGTGTTGCTTATGCAAAAAGTTGCAAACAAAATGATTTACAAACTTTTCGAACGAGCAAATCTTGATTTTTGTACATAATCACTCTAAATAGTCCATCCATTTGTCTGTGTGTCTCGAATACAATAGTCCCATTAAATCTAACTCTCACGTGAAAATATCGACGACAACTCTTTATGCACTCACTCCAAAAATTTTCAATAAGAGGAAGTTAGGCAATATTTGAAGGTTTATGAGGCGTTATCCCTCAGCACAGAATGGTGGTCCAGAGGCGAGGCATAAATGGTTGATTATCGATATTTCCCAATTTGAAGCTATGGTAAAGAATCGATTATTAAGGTGTTCGTTGTAAACACTTTGTTTCTCGATCCTTTTCCATAGGATTTAATGGCAAATCGATCGTTATATCGCAAAGCACGCCACGGCACTGCAGGGCACAGCTCGCCTGATATAGTTCGGTCTTGATCTTGAGGGCTCTAGAGAGTGGAGCGCGAGAGCTATTATCGTCGCTCCTCTTGTCGTTAAGACGCAACCTCAATCTCAGATGGGTCCTCTCGTGCATACAACTCTATGCTTTCCGAAACTCTCGCGGTAATGACGATAAGTTCTTACGTCTTAAGACTCAAATCTCTGAGTCTCCTATGAAAATTGGCTTGCTTGACACCGTATCTATGAATAAAAATTTTCATCAGCAGTCGATAGGCTGCTACACCAGTTTCATCCGAATAGTTTATCTGATGCAATCCTACGCTGCCCTCGTGAAGAAAAGCACAGTGCTTGGTTGCTGCGAAGCAGTCAAATGTTGCAAAATATCTTCATGTAAAATATTTATTTTTGAAAAAACATCGTGATATTTCTTTCGTCGGATATTTCTCCTTGGAATTTTCGCATACGCCACATCATAAAACATCGATCGAAGAAAATAAAAAAAACCCATTGTATTACAGACCTCTTGGCGCGCGCTAAGTGGGTCTATGAGATAGGCCCGCTTCTTCTGGATAGCCAAGCTAAGCAAAGACAATTCTTTTAAGTTGGCAACACTGTGTCTCCTCAATTTTAATGTATGTTAAACAACCGATTCTAGGCGCGACAGCCTGTCTCACCTAGAATAAATTTATAAAATGTATTTGAATGGAGCATTACCAGTGTTACCAACTTTTGGAATTCGCCTCAGGAAAACGACGTTGATTTTGTGGATCAACACTACTTTCGCCTTTAGTAATAATCGATGAGGTACTTGGTCGGGGTTTTCCTTTTACAATTTGCTGATGATGCCAATTTTAGAGCAAATTGTGAAAAATTTTGTCACATCAGGTCTTATTTGTTAATATTTCGCTCAACAAATCATCATAATGAAAAGATGCATCAGTATTAAACTGCAGGGTGGATGATGTGATGGTGGCCTAAGTGTGGTCAACCACTCGTTTTTCAGGAGCCCTAAACTTTAAAAAAGCTCAGAGTCACCTGAGTCTTCCTAAGCCCTTCTATTTGACATCCAACACTGTCCAACAGTGATCTTTGATTGCCACTCTCAAA